TATAAGGGCCCTACAGAGGATCTCTTATATAAAGGCTGCTATAGTTATCTTTTTAATCTTCTTACTAGATAGGTAATAATACTATACCTAGTTTTTCTAATTAATATTAGGATTAATAGATTTTAGCTAATTATAGCTAATAATTATATTATAACCTATTATTTTAACTACTTTATAGAAGAGTATATAGTTATATACTATACCCCTACTATCTTATAGCTTACTATTTAGCTTATAGGAACTATAGGAATAGACTATATAACTATCTATAGCTATAATAGGTTTTAAGGGACCTATATCTATATATAGAAGGTACTATTTAACCTAATTCTAACTAATAAAGGTTTTCTTAGCCCTACTATCTATTAGTATCTATATAATTTACTTCTTATTATTAGTTTTAATACTAACTTTATAAGTAAAAGTAAGTTCTAACTCTTACTTAATACTATTAAGCCCTAATACTACTAATACTATAAGCGCTAGGATACTTAGTTTTTTAACTATAAATCCCCCTTAGTCTCTTTATAGGTATTTATATAGTAACCTGGTTTTCTATACTTAAAGTAGCTACTATAAGGGATACTATTAGGGTTTATTTTTTATTTATTATACTTATACTTCTTATTAGGTTTTTCGCCCTACTTATCCTTACCTTTATTTTTAGACTTATCCTTATATTTCTTTATACCTAATATAAATAAGGTATAAGAGCTAAGACTAGTATCTAGGCTTAGATCTATTTTAGTAGTATTATTCTTACTACTACTAGTACTTTTCTCTTTCTATATATAAAGTGATTTTTACTAATTAGGGATTTAGCTTTCTACTATAGAAAGGTATCTAATATATACTTTATATATTTCTAGCTTAATAGGCTATTTTAACGACTTAGTATAAATAGTATCGATTACTTTAGCCTAGAGGTACTCCTTCTAGTACTATTAACTATATAGGTACTTTAGGTAATAATAGATAGCGTTAAGCTATATTATAAATATCTATATAGATTAATATTACTTCTACTATAAAGTACTATACTCTAGTATACTATCTTAGTAGATATTTTAGGGATTGTTTATAAGATATAGGTAGAAGTCCTAGAAGTCTTACTAGGTAGTAGGCTCTTTAAATATCTTTATATAAGACTACTAATTATTATTCCTCTAGTTATCTAATTATTCGACTATAGCCTCTACCTTATATAAGTTAAAATTATACTATTACTAGTACTTATCGAAGTATAACTAAAGTTAGTTAATAAAGGTATAGTATTCCTAGGTTATATTTCTATAGAATAGTTTAATATTTATAGGCTCTCTTAGTATATAAATATAGTATTTTTCTATAACCTATAGTATAATATAGTTATTTATACTTATTAGAGTAGGAGGCTTCGCTTACTCTAGGATTTCTAATTCTATAAAGAGGTTTTAGTATTCCTCTCTTACCTTAGCTTCTTTAATATATTTCCTTAGTTAATTAAATATTAATAGGGATAGGTTTATAGGGTACTATACTAATATTAGATCTAGTAGTATAGTAGTTTCTTATATCGACTTTAAGATATCTATAGGAAGATAGTTTATAGTAGGAGGAAGGGTTTAATCGGTCGAAGCCTATTTATTAGGCTGCGGTATTATAGGAAGTCCCTATAACTATATATTATAATAATTCGATATAGTATAAATAAGAGGTAGTCTCTATTAGGTAATCTAAGTATTTAAGAGCTATTAGAACTATAAGACCCCTAGGTATAGAATACCTAAGGGAATACTATATATAATAGAGGATTAGGAAATAGAGATAGTAATATATATAGGGTATATTAAAACTAATAGCTACTTCTCTAAAGAAGTAGTATATAAGGATAATATATAGGTTTATAGGTTATATAACCTAAGGAGGCTGTATAGGCAGTATATATTACTCCTATCTAGTCCACAGTCCCCTATATACCTAGGATAGGTGCTCTATACCCTATAATAGGGCTTATACCTTAGGTATCAGCCTTCTTAGTACTAGGGTCCTGATATAGTTCTACTTTATAATTAAATACCGCCCTAGGAAACAGAATATCATCGCAGATATCCTTTTAAGAAAGGAAAGTCCCTATATAGATATCAGTCGATACCTTATATTACTCCTTAAGGAATATTTTGGAGAAGAAATAGAACTAGTACCAGAAATTAAGGTATCCCCCTTATAGATAGAACCTATATAAGATACTAAGGTTCCCTTCCTATTAGTTAAGACTATATAGGACCTAGATATAACTAAATAAATCTAGTTAGTAAACTGCTAGAACCTAGAGCTAGAAGTATTCTAATAGATTGTAAGAGATTAAATGGATCCCTATTAGGTAGTATAAGACGAATTACTACTATTTAAAGATTGTCTAGAAGTACCTAATAAAGGGGATCTTCGAGTACAGTTACTTAATAAGATATACTAATAACTACTAACTATATACCCTAGTATCGAGAAACTTAAGAAGCTTATTATAACTAGATACTATTAGCTAGGATAGGTTATAGATATAAAGTAATATATAGATAACTATCTAATATATAAATATATAAAGACCTAGAGAGATCGTATACCTAATCTCCTATACCTACTACCAATTCCTAAATAACTGTAATAATATCTATTAATAGATTTCCGTTCTTTCCTAAAGGATAGATATAGCTATAATATAGTATTTATTATTATTAACTAACTAAGTAAAAGACCGATATCAATCCCCTATTATAAAGATACTAATATAAAGTAGATAGTATATCTATTTATAGATAATATTATATAGATTATAGGAATCTCTAAAACTATTATATTAGACTAAGGAGGATAGTTTATCTCTAAGTTCTAGATAGAGTTCTATAGAATCCTAGGAATTAAGTAAAAACTATCTACTATATACTACCTATAGATAGATAGCTAGAGTAAAATTATAAATTAGTTTATAGTATAGTAATTAAGACTATATATTAAATATAACTAGGATAACTAGTTAGAATACCTACCGATAGTAGATTTCGTGGTATCAATTCTTCTATAGGATATAATAAAGAGGTCCCCTTTCTTTATTAAATAGGGTTATAAACTAGTAATATCTTTCGACTAGAATTATATAGGACTAATATATAATAAATAAGAAGCGGCTAATTGACTCTTAAAGTTATAATAAATCTAGGAAGATATATATAAATAAATTGTAAAGTTATAGGAACTATAAATATAGTAGGCTAACTATTATTATTACGAAGAGGACTTTAATATTAGTAACCTGGTCTTTATTACTATAAAAGATTAGCTATAGGACTATCTAAGTTAAAAACTCTCCTATATAACTAGTAAACCCTATAAGATTATCGAAAAGGTTAGGAATATATATAAGTTAGAACTACTATAGTTAATTAATATCTACCTAGTATTTAACCTAAGTAAGCTGTAGAAGGTAGCGAGGATAGAACCACTTATAGGATAATATATAGATCCGCTACCTCCGATATAGATAGGATAGACTAATAAGTAGGAAGTTAAAAAGATCCTAGATATAAGAAAGTATTATAGGAAGCTATAGTACTATATATAGTAGTTAGGATATAACCTAGATCCTATATAGTACCTAGCCGGTAACTTTAAGAATACTCTGGAGATAATTAAGGAATTCTATAATACCTATCTAGCGAAGCCCAGACTGCCGATATATCTATAAGAATAGATCGAGGCCGCGCGGGATAATCGAATATTAGATAACCACGTAGATAATAAGAAGCTAGTATTTAGGGACTAAATGTATTCTCGCCTAGGGGTTATATCACAATTAGTACGTATAGAACTTATACCTTCCCGTTTAGGATCGTACCGTTGGTTATTTATATAAGCAATCGTACCTTCCTTTATAGCTAAGTGAGGATAGGGCTTTGCCCCCGAAGGGGTATAAGGACCCGTTTGTTATTTTATGTTTTGTTTTCTTTTCCTTTTTTCTTCATACTTGATATTTGATTAGAATGCACTTCTTTCGTTAAAGAGAACCTGGCACATAATAGCACCACTACTATTTATTACACTCTCAACTTTCCACCCAGGGCCAAACTCCTGGGATAAAGGTCTTCATTCATCCAGGTATAAGTCTTAAATCATTTGTAGCAATACCATCTTCCTTCGTATCCAAGAGTGACTGCAACTACAACCCCGCGGAACGGCAGTTTTCTTGAAGTATCATATTTTATACTGCTGCCATCGTCACTTACAACGTTCTAGTATCGGTAGCGTTTATATAATGTATATATATATATATATATATATATATTTCACGATTCCTCGTTTTCTTAATCTCTTGAATTGGTCGGCAAACTATATTGCAGCGGCACAAGTTTGTATCAGGGCCACTAAAATCGGTGAAGTATTCCGAAAGAGGCGAAACTACGATATTTTTCTCGAAAATATCCAACTTATTCAAGAACACGATAAAGGGCTTATACTTGAATTGTTCATTAGAGGACAGACTCCTTCCCCATTACTACATATAAGGCTAGTAGGGCTCCTAAAAATGCAGCAACTTTTGAAATCCTTCAGATCGGACACTTCTCATGGGAGCACGCAGCTTCTAAGTACTAGACAGCTTTAGCCAATATCGGAATTCAGCACAGCTCGACAAAAATCAATATTCGATAATCAATCATCAAGACCCTAGTATCTAGCTACAGTCCACATTCACTAGGACTCCCTATTGGTTACATTATATGGCATTGAATATAACGACAAATCATCTCACTAAATCGACATTAAACTACGAAAACGGAGGATGTGGCCAACTTAGTCAAATCAAATTCACATTACTCAATACTAGTATTACGCCATCTAGTTAGAATGAGCTTGGTATTATATTAGGAAAAAATCGAATTGGTAAAAAGGATAAAAACAATACGGAGACGAGCATTGCCATAAATGCAATAAGCCAACGCAAGGCGAATTCACATTCGAGTCACTGACTATCTGACCCTTTTGGTCAATCGTTTAGACCGTCTTAGTTCAGGGGAAACGCCGTCAGTATCTAAAAGTTTGCGTTTGGCTGACCATCTGCCATAAGAGCCATAAGGTAGTTTACTCGCAATACATTTAGTGGTACTATATAGTGCTTCCTGCGTCTAAGATTGATCCGCTATCGGGCAGGTATCCGGTATATCGCAAACCGGACAGTTATTATCTTTGTACTTATTTTGCTCAGTTTCTAGCAAAGGTTAACGAAAATTATATTAAGAGCTAATGGCTATAATATACCTACTTAGCTAGTTTAACCATAGAGAGTAACAGAGTGATCTTCTATTACCTTAGGCACTCTGTCCTTAGTTGCTTTATCATCCAGGTAGGGATAATTCTACTTAAGGATTCGAGGCTCTTCTAGATCCTCGCAGCCTAGTTATATAGTAGGGGATAGAATAGAAACAGAGTTAACGTCTATACGCTCATTTACTAGGATAGGAAAGCTTTTATCGATCAAATTCTCCCAGAATTCCGGTATAGCTATAATCTCAGTATCAGCATTAGAACTAAGTTGCTCTGCCTTATCATAGCCACAATCCTTATCAACATAAATCATTATAGGGTTAGAAGCCAAGCCTAAAGGTATAGGATCATCTCTAATTACTATAGGATTAGCCTCAGTGCCTAAATCAGGAGAATCGATAAATTCGTATATGGCCAGTATAGGCTAGTCCGAACACTTATTGGGGATTGATACTTCGCAATATAAAGTTAGTAAAATCTATAAGGCTTCTAGAATATCCCTTACCGGAGGCCTCGCGCGCATTATTTATAAAAGAGCTCATACTAACTAGAGTAGAAAGAAGAGGCAGGAACAAATACTTAATAATTGTTGAACAAAAGAGAGGCTGTTTTGTATGGTACGAGCAGTAGGATACTAGACCAAAGGGTAAAATAAGTGTAATTATGAAAAGGAGGGTTCTCCTCCGAGATCTATCTTAGTATATATTTATATAATCGCTATATATAGCTGCTGACTACTAATATACCACTAGATATAAGGAATATACGGAAGTGCGTTATTTCTAGTCGATATACCCCCCTAGAAGCTATGTTATAGCTCCTAAATTCGTCTTATCCGTTATCAAGCTATCTATCTATCTACTAGATCCTAGATATCTACTAGTCCTAAGGACTAAATAAACTTTTCGTAGGATTATACTGGCAGTAACTTAGTAAGCCTATCTACCTATATATTAGTAGTAGCTACCTACTAGATCGAGATATAGCCGGTATTAACCTCTTAGTATAGCTAATAGTTGTAGATATCGATATAGTAAAGCTTAGTTTATAATTGCGGTTATTTATAGGTAAGTAAATTAACTATCTATTAGTTATTATAATTAATAATAAGATCGGTCTAGTAGTTAAGATTAACTGTATAGAGTAGCTGTTCCTACTATATTACTAACTTTCCGGCCTTAGAGATAGTAAGAAGCTTAGCCTTAGTTATTAATATTATAACTATATATTACTTACTAGCCTTCTAATCTATTACTATACTAAATAGTTTATAAAGGAAGCCTTCTAAGCTTTTCTAATTAGAATGGTTGCCGAATAATATATTATTAGAGAAGTAAAGTATTAGTTATTTGTATAATAGGTAGTACTCGAGAGCTATATATTATATATTATATAGATATTAGATTAAGCGATTAACTACCTTATAATACTTAGGTCCTAGGTTAACTAGGAATTTAGTAAGATAATTTACTACCTTTACTATATTAGGATAAGTTATAACTATTAGATAAAGGGCTAAGCCGAGCTTTTATTAATACTTATAGATCTACTCCTTTATTATAATCCCTAAGAACTTAGTTATTTTATTTATAGGAAGTAGGGTTTTATACTTATAACCACTAGTAAGTCTATACTTAGTTACTATTAATAAGATATAAGAATCCTAGTATAACTATAGTTTATAATTTATAGTATCTTAGAGAATATAGATTCTAAGAAACTAGCTTACTTCCCCTATCTTATAAAGTTCCTAGTACTATTTTAGTTCTTCTTTAAGCTAAAGTACTTCCTAGAGCTAAGATCGGTAGTAAATAATAATAATATTATTAATATAGAAGAAGATAATTATTCTATTATAGGTAAAGAGATAAGGATCTTCTAGAATAAAGATAAATCCTAGCTTTTTAAGTACCTAGGTTACTTCCCTTTACTATAGTCTAGGTAACTTTCTAAGTCTATAGAGTACTTTATAAAGCTTCTATAATATACTACTACTTCGAATTCCTTCTAGTATTTAGGTATAGACTATATTATCGAGATCGCTATTTAGGAATATATTTATAGTATCTATCTAGATTATACTAAGATTGAATACTACGATAAGTATAAAGACTACTTATACTATATAGGCCGCTAGTATAGCTATACGCTTTTTGTTAGAGTTAATATTCTATAAGTTACTATAAATATAGATCCTTACTTTTAGTTTTATAAGAAAGCTATTACTATTATATTTATATATAAAGACCTAGGTTAATAGTAATACCTAGATTGCCTAGTCTCTAGGTTAAGGTTTAACTTTAAAGGTTCTATATTACTTAATTAATTAGACTTCTAGTCCTATTATAGTAAGAAATCCTTTATAAAATAGGTAGTTAAGTATATCCTTCTATATCTATAGTTTAGGAAGGAGGTTATCTTAGTAGTACTATGGTTCTAGGTATCCTAAGGATAGTATAGTTACAAATATAGCGAGTACTGCTATATAGTTATCTTTAGTATTATATATAAGATAACTTACTATATTATAATCTTCGTATGGTTTCCGCTTATATTTTCTATAAACAATATTTAATAGGGTGATATCTCTATAAATAGTTCTTCTATACTATTATTATAGGAAGCTTCCTAGTATTTATAGAAAGGGAGATAATTATTATTAGGAAACTACTTACTATATAGCTACTTACTATATAACTATATACCAGTCTCAGCTATAGTAGACTAGTCTATATATTAGTTTTTTAATTATAAGTCTATATTAATATTTACATTCTCTTAGTACCTAAATTTAGACTTAGAATAGTTAGTTAGGAATAACTAGTAAATATAGTACTACTATTAATAGTATAACTAGTAAGTATAGTACTACTATTAAGGGTATAACTACCGCTAGGAGTAGTATTCCCTATAGTATCGTTAATTCCTCTTAGGTAGGATATAGTAATCCTAATAGTATTATTAAAGGGGAGACTTACTTACTTAGTAGAAGTAGAAGATTAGCTAGGCTTTATAGAAGTAGAGGAAGAGAGGATATACTTAGTATTAGTAATAGTATTATATACTTACTTTATAGGTCTCCCTAGGGGGGGTTTAGATTTCTATAGTTATTAGAGCTACCTATTTTTTAGGTAAAAACTAGACTACCTATTTTTTAGGTAAAAATATACTAGTCTTCTATTAGCTAGATAGACTCTGCTTCTTATAATAAAGAAATTTCCTCTACTATTACTTCTTCTTCTTCTCTATTTTATATTTTATTCTAGATTATTAGTATTATACTAACCTAGTGAATTACTTACTCTAGTTCTATATCTAGTTCGTCTTTATTAAGTACTTTAGTAAAGTCTATAATCTAGATTCTTAGTAGTTCTACGGGATAGTTTATAAAGTTAAGATTCTTATTAAAGGTAGTATCCCGAATATACTTACAGCTATTTATATATAGGAACTAGACCTTCTAGATATTACTTATATAAAATCCTATAATATACCTAATCTCTACTTAGTTATATATTTTATCTAATAAAGGAATTCCTTAGATCCTAATATAGGTATAATACCTATAAACCTTTAGATTTAATAGGTTAATTAGAATAAAGGTACCTATTCCTTATTAGTAGAATTCTTACTAAGGTATAATCTACTTTCCTAAGTTTAACTTTATTAGTAATCTATTAATAATATAGATAGTAGCTTATACTACTTCTAGCTAGAGGTTCTTTAGAAGCTTTAATTCTTAAAGAAGTAACTATACTCTAGTAATAATTACCCCCCTAGATCGCTTAATAAAACCATTTTATTCTAATATACCGACTATAGTCTATTAGGTAATAATCCTATTTTCTTTTATAAAGTCTATTATCTTTTAATTAATTAATCCTTTATTATTAGAATAGAAAATATAAATTAGTAAATTAAACTATATTTATATTTATAAGATAAATTTAATAATTACCTATTAGTAACCGCTCTTCTTCTTATATATTAAGGCCTAGTAGTATTAGATACTATTAATATAGAAGTAAGAGATCTACTTATTACTATTATATACTTTAGGGAGTATAATAAGATCGAAATATATCTAACTAAGTAGTCTAAAATTTATACCTTAAATATAATAAGAGACTTACTTAGGTATTCTACTAAGCTAATATATCTTATATAACTCTAGGTTATTTATAGTACTCTTAGTATTTATATATAAGGGTTTTATAATCTAAATACCCTTAACTATTTTAGTAAGCTATTCTACGCGCTTACTAAATATATAGCTAAGTCGCTAATACTATCTCTCTACTATTACTTTTAAGACTAGTAGCTATACTAAACGTTAGGTTATATTAAAAGAGGTTATTATAAATACTACTAGAAATATAAAGTTAATATATAGGAGTATAAAGAAGTTCCTAATCTCTTCTATTTTTATAAAGGTCTGGCCTATATCTTTATATATAATAGTTAGATTATTAAAATCTACTTTATACCCCCTCTATTTAATTAATACTATTAAGATAAGATTATAGTAGAAGCTAGGAGAGTACTTAATATCGTTTAATATTAGATTAATAGGTTAGCTATAATAGCTAATAGTTTTAATCTAGACTTTACCGGTACTATAGACTTTAGTAAATATATTACTAACCTTTAGCTCTCCTATCTTTTTATAGAATTTAATAAAGAGGCCTTAGTTATTTATAATATATCGGCTAGTTACTAAATTAATTAGCTAATAATCCTATAGGGTAGATTATAAGTTTATTAGGAAAGTAGTATCTTCGATAGCTATTAAGTAGTCTTTATTATTTAGATCTACTTCTATAAAGTATACTTAGTCTATATCTTCCTCTTCTACTAGTTTAGCTAGAAGTTAGTTTATATAGTCCTTTACTTTTCTAGATAACTTATCGACCTTTCCTTATATATTCTTTTAAATATTAGGATTAGGTTTCTAACTAGGTAGGTATACTACCTTAACTAGGTATAGATATATACTAAAATAGTGGTTTTCTCTATATATATAAGCTAGGAGAGATATCGATATCTTCTTTTCCTTTATGGTTATAGTAGTTATTATAGTTATAGTTACTAGTTTTTTAGCTTCCCCCTAATCCCTAAGAGTTATAAAAGCAGCCTATAGTACCTTTAGCTTTAATAACTTCTTCTAGTTAAAGAGCGACTATTCCGAATAGTATATATTCACTATACTAGTAAATATATATTTTCCATTTTATTCGAAAACCTTCTAGTACTAATAGTAATAGAATTAAGGCTTAATAGAATTAAGTACTACTAAGAAATCATAGATTATATTTTAGTTATTAGTTATAAAGCTTACTTTTATAGCTATATATTCTATATAGAGATTCTCTAATTTTATTAACTAGCTATTAATTACTATATCTTTAATTAGTATTATTACTATAACTATCTACTATCTCCTAATAATCTAGACCTACTTTATATCTATATAAGAGAAATGTGATTATAGGGTAGCTAGTAGCTTACTAGTTTCCTATACTTTAACTATTAGATTTTAGATCTTAATAGTAAGTATATTCCTTATTCTCTTAGAGACCTTATTAAGTACTAGTTTGATTATCTTATACTTAGATAGATTATTATTATAGTCTTTCTAATTATTATTATAATTAAGTTAGCCGTTTATTATTAATCGACTTATTATATTATAATTGTACTTTTTATTATTTTTATTTAGTTAAATTAGCTTTATAGGTAGGGTAGGCCGCTTTTCTTCGCTAATATTTAGGTTAATATAATCCTAAATATCGAGATTTTTAGCAATTATCTCTACCTATATAAACTAGGTTTACCATTAGGTTAAGTTCCTTAGAATAATATATACTCTAGGTATACTCGAGACCTATTCGGTGATCCTACTAGGATCGTTATAAAGGAATAATATCTCGTTTTCTATAGCTTTCTTATATAAGTTAGTAGAGGATAGATAGGAAGTACTAGGTAAGCAAAAGTACTTCTATGCTCAGGGATACAGTAGCTCGTGGAGCAGACCACAGTAGTATTCAATTACAATTAATATACTAGTGAACCGGGCTCATAACTATTGAATAAAAGAGAGGCTGTTTTATATGGTACGAGCAGTAGGATACTGGACCAAAGGGTAAAATGAGTATAATTGTGAAAAGGAGGGTTCTCCTCCGAGATCTATCTTGGTATGTATTTACATAATTGCTACACGTGGCTGCTGACTACTAATATACCACCAGATGTAAGGAACGTACGGAAGTGCGTCATTTCTGGTCGACAATAATTAATATAGGGTAAGAGTAACGGCTATAATCAAGATCAAAGACCTAAACCAATTCTTAACTATTATTATCAGAGAAACAGTAGGCAAGATACATACCTTTATATCTCTTATCTAGCGGATTACACCTTATTCAGCCTATAGGCTGAACGGGCACCTTCGTCTAGGTCTCAGCTTCAGACGACAAGATCCAGTAAGATCGCTTCTAGACGAGGCCCATCTGTCAATCGTCTCTATATCCAATGCATATTACATAGGAATACCTTACGAATGACCAGCTAATCGTCCATTTGATCCAATAACATCACAAAGCACTGTTACTATTTACGGAGGACTGCACTCCTACTCATCGGCCGCGCCCTATAACATCGCTACCGTTTCGATTAAGCTATATTTGCCAGTCATTCCATAGCCCAGAACAGAAGACGAAACATACGAGACAGACCAACACAGAGACTAAGGACCCCCTTATCATCTCCAGTCCACACAAGGCAGAGGCTATAGGAATGAGTCTTGTTTTCTTATTGATCCATATCGCGCTCTATAGAAATCAACCGTAAAGCCAACGAGGATTACAGCCACAGAGCGCCTTCAACGAGAGGGGTCAGGACTACGGAGATATCTAGAATAAGGATGACGACAACCCAGCGGTCATACCACAATATTGCTACTATTCCTAAAAAACTGCAGGTATACGCATCGTCTGCGCCCAATGTCATCACCACTGGATTGATTGAGCTCTGCTCGCCGGTTCTTCCATAACTCGAGACAAAAGACGAAGCGCAAAAGAGTGGACCAATGAGGAAATACACGCTACCTCCATCTCCAGTCCGCATGACCTATTCCTTGTCCTTCTATCTCGTCCTCTGTGCCAATCGATCGTAAAGTCAATTAGTTCGGTTACAAAGGCCCCTTAATGATATGGATCGAGACGGCGTAGATCTCTAGCATCGACTACGGCGTCGCCTCGCGGCTTTGTGGACCTGAACGCCGTGGATATTACAATCATCGAAATAATAAAAAAACTGCCCCCGGGTTAATCGCTAGGTAAGTCATGAATCGCGGCCGAGAAATCCGATCCCGGTCATCTTCGGTTTTGAAGTAGGGCGAGCGCTATCAGCCAAGGTTAATAAAGCTCTCACACTGTATATCGGCACCAAGGCAAATTAGCAGCCCCGCTGCATAGGGACGCTTTCATGGAAGAATGTAGGGTGACTGCGCCTACTTACGCAGAAGCTCAATTGACATCCCGGGCGGTGAGCCTGCCGGTCGGTGTCTGCCGGTCGGCGTCGCGCAACAAGGGTAAAGGCGGTCTCATCTTAAGCGTACCCGTCGGAGCTGAGGAAGACAGGGAGGGGCTAGACGAGGGCGGGCAACGCAGATTGCATTCGCACGATCGCAGAATAGCCGATGAGTCACATCGAGGGATAGGGGGTGGCGGAGCTCAGGAGCTCGGTGATCCGGATCAATAGCAGAAATGCCTCACCTGCAGAGCACGGACGAAGACGAAGAGAAAGGAAAAGCGGGCGGGCGAAAAACAGCGAAAAGTTGAAGGGGCTATGGAGGGATTATATAGAACCACGCACGGGAACGCACACGGACAAAGAGCGCTAAACCCAAGAGGTCAGAACTAAACCTAAGAGGGTAATTCGCAGTCCCCCTCCGATATGGGGTAGTGGTTAACCTAGCGGATTTTCAGTATCTGACCTCCGCGGCCCCGGGTTCGATTCCCGGTATCGAAGTTCTTTTTTTCTTTCCTCGCCTCTAGGCGAGTCATATGATTTAGTATGCCGTGGACAGCTACTGCTTAGCGTGAAAGATCTAGTTTTTATTGCTCAGTTGGACAAATCAGATTCACATATGTGCCGGATAATAATTAAGAGGAGTTCGCAGTATACCAAAGCCTTGACGAACTTCGGGAATTTGTCCACGTGCCCGAGTCCAGGGCTGGCCCGTGATATCACGGCATGTCCAATGCCCCCTCACATCTATACAGAGGGGTTGCCTGAAGAACCGACCCCAGTTCCCGCATGGGGGGCTCTTCCACTCGACTGAATCATGTCCAACCGGCCAGCTTCATCGGTGTTTTGGGCGAGAGCTCGGATCTGAGCAATAATGGAGTCCATATTGACACAATCCTATATTGTAGAATAGAAGGTTGATGAGTGAATATGAAATTTCTAGTGTAAAGAGGTTTTATATACCTCGTCTCTCTCATATAGTTCCTATAGTAGATATCCATGCAGGCCGCGGAACTTCCGCGGATTCGCCGGCCTTTGATTGGTCGGTTCTGTCAATTGTCGGCATCTCGCCACCATCTCACACACAACACCTAGAGCCCAACGGAGATTGCCTTAAACAATATTCGGGGTAAAAATGTCTCGAGTCGAGAAACAGTGTATTAGATCATCACGCTCGCGACCGGTGTCTTGCTACTTCTGTCGATTGAGGAAACTCAAGTATAGCCGGCAATTCCCTTGCTCTAACTGCACTAGTCGGGGCAAGACTTGTCAGCTCTATCCTACTACAGAATTGCCTTCTAGTCCTCAGAATCAGATAGATATATTACCTAGCAATGATCATTCAGATATACTAGCCCGCTTGTGGAGGCTAGAAGAGATCGTGATTACCAATGGACTAGTACCTAGTCCTGCGGCATAAGATACTACCTAGGCTTCGTTACTCTATTCTCCTCCTACCTAAAATCGAATCAATTATCCATGATTTATAAAGGTTAATCATATATATTGGCTGTAAATTGGCTTAAAGGCTAGATATTATCGTTGGGCTCGCTGGTACGCCGGCCTCGATCGAATTTATGGGAAATCGGCTGATAAGAGTATATAGGGTAATATTTTTAAGTATGAGATCGAATTTAAAACTTACCCTATTTGTAATATAGTGGGATCTGAACTAATTATATATTAAGCTTAACCTATAAAAAGATGTATCTGGCTGCTACTTTATAATGAAGTGAAGATAATAGTGGAAAAGTATATCATAGAAATCACTTTCCTCTACTATGTGGTTTATATCCCCTTAGTGTATACTATGGTAGAGGAACTGTATTATGATCTCTTAGAAAGTAAGCTGGTTAAGATTGGGTACATTTTATTGCTCCTTAGTATTCTCGCTAGTACTATATCCCTCTGGATTAAACGCGATATATATAACCCTATATTTTCGACTGTTGAAGAAGCAGTTGTATAATCTATATAGTAGATGAGACTTGTGTCGGAGATAGTCGATTACTTGTATTATAAATACTTTAAGTCTATTAAGGATATCTAAGCGATGATTATCCTTATATTTATAACTGCTAATACTATAGGGATTACCCCTTAAGCCTAATATATAGTCTCTACTGCTATATTATTTAGAAGAGAACTTTCCTTATATCGGATTGACTATCTATATAATTCCTACCTAGATATACCTTTGCTATCCTCTGTAAAAGTAGAAATATATAGAAGAGTATGGTGGTATCTTATAGCGACTGATTAGTGAGTATTCCTCCTTCCCCTCTTATTCTTCTATAATTATAAGCTTATAGATAATAGGTAGATATTATAACTATCTAGTCTATAGAAGGGTATATATTTAATTGATCTATGCTATATAATGACTAATAAACCTTATAATGTGAATGACGAAGATATTGTGGATAGGATGGTTAGAGTTAGAAAGCCACTTATCTACCTAATATCGATGTCTTACTATCTCTAATAGATTCGATTAGGTGAATTTTGCCATGAAATCATAGATTATACTCTGTTTAGAATATTAGATCTAGGAAGCCCGGACTATAAGTATATGAAATAAATTGATAGTAAGATTTATAAATTTATAGATAGTCTGTTCTTCTTATTAGACTATAGGTCGGATGAGCTACTAAATAGCGATCCTTGGAGATCTCCTGGAATAATCATATAATAATATATTATTAATTTTCTGCTTTATATCTAAAGATATAGGCTTTACTTGCCTTATTTATCGCGAGCGTCTAAGGATCGTTTATACGATTACTTACAGAAAGTATACCTAGAAGTAGCTTAAATAGTGATTTGTACTAAACGCTAACTCTTACTAGAGGTGGTTCCCTTTATAATAGTGCGGCTAAGACTTCTAGGCTTACTATATTCTGTCTATATAGCGATTATTATTCTCCTTATAGACTTTAGTAGGAGTGATTACCTATAGGAATAGGAAACGGAAATCTTAGAGGTATTTTTAATCCTAGAAAGGGCTAAAGAGGAACTCCCTTTTATAGGAAGGCTGTTTAAAACCTTTAAGACAGCTCTCCGTCGGTATAGTACTTTGGGCTCGGCTGTTAAAGAAAGTATAATAATGTAACCTACCTTTTAAGGCCCTGAGGCTTTATCGGGTCTTGCCTATGCCTCTCTAGTACCTATAAGCATATTATATCCGATAGGTAGAAGCTTCGATGAGCTTATTATAGACCCTGCATTGCCTTCTCTAGATGACCTCTGGCAGGTCTTCAATGAAAATGTGGACTTAGGGATAGTGGATTGGGATAGCTTCTTTGCCGAGTCGGATAGTGCATTTCTATCTATGTAGCATTAGTAGTAATTTTCGATAGGTCTTGGCACTGGGAATTGAAATCTATAATATTATGACGTATGAAGGCTCGTCATTACTACAATATTCTAATTCATTATGCCCCACTTAGCTATCGAGTCGTTTCCACATTGAGATCGACACGGCACATCGGTTTAATCTTGACCGCCGTATATAATACTAACGGGTGGAGGCGATCAGCGAAGTAACATATTCCGTACGCTACGGTGTATAATAACAAAGATGAGGTTGTAAATCCACAAAGTCAATTTTAACCTTGTCTGACATACTCTCTCTATCAGATCTAAGACAGCCGGTTCTACGCCAGCTTTTCGATCGATTGGTCGGGTTGCATGGGGGATTGATTTAGTTCCTGAACACATTCGTACTTTGCCCCCTGTATACCTATGTAGACTGCCTCTTGTGTCAGCTCCTTCTGGGATCTTCACCTATCATGTCCTAAATTTACGGAAGATATTATATAACAGGTATTATAATGTGACACGATTAATGAATCCCAAGTCGGGGGCCTCGTCGGATGTACGATGAATAGAGACACGCGTCGCTGTGGACTGTGATATGTATTCGCTGCGGAAAAAAGCTCAGTCTTATAGAATAAGTATAGAGCAGTGCAAATGGTAGGCGGCTAATAATTCCAAAATGAGAGACTGTTGTAAATGTGCCATGGTTGAATGATATAAAAATAGGGGTCGAATCCGGGGGTCCACTTCCATATTGTTTAATGATGACACCCGTGGAAAATCCGATCCAATCTCTTGGTGCGTCTTTCATCATACTTATAAGGTGATTTATGCTGTACTAGTGCCTCTATCCTTTGCTATACAAGTCTAGATTGTACACTTAGCGGCTATCCTTCATATGGATAACACAAAGATCTGCAGTTGTAATATAACTGACTGTCTATATGTACGATGTATACTAGCTACTGGATCAAAAATTGGAGCATTAGTATCTTGACGAATATATCCTCGACTACCTAATAACAACAATGGCACCCAATTGAATGGCTTGAGCCTCTTGGAGGACTCAAATTGGCAGTAATATATGGGAAGATGCATATTGCCACTTTCAATAGGGTTGCCTGGGCGTAAGCAAGACAGTAAGTCTACATCTTTCTCATAGTGACCATTGTCCATGTCCCCAGATCCTGCTCTTAAGTGGAGAAACAAGCATAGTCTTATACTCTATCTCTCCACACCTCTATCAACTGGGTCTCTGTTTAATATGACGTTTGTGGATGTCCCAACGTATCTCGCTCCGGCTGGTTCGGACCTACTATTGTCTACTCTCTGAAACCAGGGTTGGTCTATCGGAGTTCTTCCCCACGGTCAACGGCATGAATAGCTGACAGTATGCAGTTTCTCTATGTTTTTATCTCGGGGACTTTGGCCGGCCATATAAGCCCTGATGTTATATTCTGTTTGATTCGTTTGGGATTTTAACCCCCACTGATGCCTATAAAGATGTACTCTCCCTAAAACCTTACTTCCTAAACTTAAGCCACTCTGCCACCATAACTCTACCGGTATATATTGTTAGGTCGTTCAACTGCTTACGATATTCTTAAGAAGGGGTGCCGTGTTTATTTACTAGCTAATTAGCTTATTCACATTCGCTGAATAGTAACTATAAGGAATATTATTACCGTCGCTGCCTTTACTGCCGGCTCTAACGCCCTTGTTGGCCGTGCCGATAGCTGCTGCTTCTACCTTACTTCTTCCAGCGGTACCTCCGGTATACTTGGCTAGCTAGGTGATAGCTAGAACCGTATTGGCGATAGTAATCTGCTACCCGTATAGTACTGTATCGACGCTAATGGTAGTATCACTGACTCTAGTGGCCGTAGGTGCATCCTTACTCGTAAGTGAATTAATCTATATCCTATATATCAACTACTTAAGGATATATATCTAATGATATGACAGCTCCTACCACTTAACTCTAATGTGATAAGGGTGTAACTGCTATACCCGGTTTCTCTGTCAACTCCTAGGGTAAACTCGAGTATCATAACAGCCCTGACTTCATTGCATGTGCTACCGGCGAGAACGCTGGTCTGAATGTCTATACTACCCCTAATAAGATGGATGTCACTAGATATATGAATGTGCAGATGTCTGCCGACTCTTGCTCGGGCACTGGTCCCACTCCCGGTCCTATACCTGGTCCCGCTGGTCCTGGAGGTGGTGGTGGTGCCGGCCCCGGTCCCGCTCCTGGTCCTGCTCCTGGTCCTGCTCCCGGCCCTGCACCTGGTCCTGGAGGTGGTGGCGCTGGCGCTGGCGCCGCTCCTGGTCTCGCTCCTGGTCCCGCCCCCGGCCCTGCTCCTGGTCCTATACCTGGTCCCGCTGGTCCTGGAGGTGGTGGTGGTGCCGGCCCCGGTCCCGCTCCTGGTCCTGGTCCTGGTCCTGCTCCCGGCCCTGTACCTGGTCCTGCACCTGGTCCCGCTCCTGGTCCTGCGCCTGGCCCTGCTCCTGGTCCCGGTGGTCATACTGCCACGACCACGGTCACTGTCACTGACTGCAGCTGCCCTACATCCGGTGCTCCTGGAGCCCCTGGTGGTGGTGGTGCCGGGCCGCAGCCCCCTACTACTGTTACAGTAATATATCCTACTCCCGGCGGCGGCGGTGCTGGCCCTGCTACTGTGCCTACTCCTACTGGCGGTGGTGAATCGCAGCCTGGTGCCTCTCCTACTGCGCCTTCCCCCGGTGGCGGCGGCGGAGGTGGAGGCGGTGGTGGTATCTCTGTTAGTGTTCCTCCTTTCTCCGGCGGCGGGGGCTTATACCCTGGTGGCTCTGCTACTGTGCCTGCTCCTACTAGCGGTAGTTCGCGGCCTGGGACCTCTCTTACTGTGCCTCCCCCTAGCGGCGGCGGAGGTGGTAGTGGTTCGTACCCTAGTAGATCTGCTACTGTACCTTCCCCTACCGGTAGCGCACGTCCTACTAGGTCAGTTACCATTCCCACTACCTCCGGTGGTACCTCTTATCCTACTGGCTCTAGTAGCGTATCCGTCCCTGCTAGCCCTGCCTCTCCTACTACGGGCACTACCTCGGCTACTGGGACCTCTGGTAGTGCTTGTCCTACTACCCTCTCGGGTAACTATAAGATCCCTTACCTTATTGTTCCCGTCGACTCGTCCTTACCTAATACCCCCGCTGGAACTGGGCTTAACGGTAGCGTGAGCTTGACTACCTCGACTGTGTTTAACTTCGATATCCTAAATTCTGACTCTGGTAAGACCTGCAGCCTTATATTCCTCTTCCCTAGGATTGATGAGCTCGAGACTTTATCTTATACCTTTAATAGGGATAGAAGGATTGACTTCGCTTAGCTCTCTTCTCCTACTGATTCTTTAACGTTATTTAGTAATATGCCCTCGGTATCCTAGGACCTCGGTACAATTACTGTCTTCCTAGGTAATGTATACGTTATCTCTACCTTCTCTTATCCGGCTGGCCAGTCTGTTACCTATAAGATAAAGAACGCTAGTAGTACCGACTTTAACTTCTTTAAGGATTAGAACCCCTCTCTGTAAGTTTTCTTACTACTTTTCCTTTTTCCTATATATTAGCTAATAGTACTTTTAGTCTCGGCCTATTTATCACTACTTGCTAAATAAGGAATATATGCAATTTGGCTGTTGACGACTATGGTCATATGATTCCTAGGGCCATTTTTTGTGCCTTGTAAACTTCTATTGATACCTCTTTTACGTCGATATATATTTGATATTTTTCTCCTTTTGTTTTCAGATTTCATGGTCGGGTATCTATACGGAAGTAAATCTTTCTTAAAAGCTAACCGTCTATTTGAGGGATCGGAAAATATAGCCATTTCTGGTTGATGTTGAAAGTTAGGCGCATGTACATAGCGTCGACGTCCCTTCAGTTTGTGTAGTAGTATAGTGAATTCACTCCTTCCAGTTTTCAAGTAAATAACCACAGAGAATATGTATATGTAGCTATACGTATCCCTCTTCCTGGAGATGAGTTCCCAGTGATTCCGGACTATCTAATTCCTGGCGAAGAAGCCGTAACAGTATAGTAGCTGTGACGATCTACTCGTCTTCACATGCTCCTGTTTGACTACATGCTTGCTAGATAGTTAAGCGAGATGATTCGAGGTTTGCATCGTTTGCAAAGGGGGCAGCTATATCAACTAGCTGTTTCCCACTTTACAACTTGCTTCCTCTCTCTCCCTATCTTAGTTATTTTGAATTCAATGCGCTCTTCCTTTGCAAGCCCTGGCACGTTACAGAAGCTTAGGCCTAGTCAATTTCGCAAATTTCACCTATATGGAGGCCCTCTCACACCCCCAGGAAGATTCCAGGATAAACCCAGCCATCCTTCCAACTCCCTTCAGACCAAGCTCCATCAAAATTGTCAACCTCATTCGAATCCACCCTCATCTGCCTAACCACGTTCCCGCAATCGTCCAAAAACACATGTAAAACCCCTCCGCCGCACTGAGCCTTCGCGTCCTCAATAAACGCATGAGTCACCACACAAGTGGCGTGATACATCCAGTACGTCTTACACAAATCATCAGAGTTCAAGGAAAATTCCTCTTCGCGTGTGCCTAAAGTCTGCCCCTCCGCTTCTTCGCGCATTCGTAAGAGATCTGTAGCTTATTCTCACGCCCGTCGAAATCCTCTAGCACTGAATTATTCGTCACGCGCTCTGGGAATCGCTTAAGAACACGAGCAATATCTGCATTCGCAAATAACCCTTCGTCCTCGAGGACTAGCGAGTCGGGTCCGATGAGTTGAGAAATGTCCACGTATTCATTCCAGAGCGTTTGGTGGGCTTGTTCGTTTTCCGCGTCATAGTTCGTGTGGATCCACATGCCCTCGGCACCTGTCCATGATTCGTATCTGGCGGCATAGCGGCGGAGGGATTTTGGAGTAGTGGGCGGAGAATAGTATCAATTTGTTGCTGTGTGGGCTGGGCAGGCGCGTACGTCTGCGAGTCCTCTCTAGTACGGTTATAGTAGGGCTAAGATTTGGGATTAGAGGATCTTTAATAGAATAAGAAGCGATACAGAGGCAGATAGGAAAGAGCAGCGAAAATGTGGCAATCAAAACTAACCTCTCTACCCATCGTCCCAATAGTCAGCCACTGGCGAACGAGGCGTTCGCGAGCCTCGTTCGCGACGCTGGTCGGTAGTTCATTAAGCGAGTCGGGATAAGGAGTATCCCATTGTTCCTGGATAACGTTAATCAACTTGACAGTGCATGGAACATTAGGAGAGAAGGTACATACAAGAAGATAGAGGTCCCTCGCACGATTGAAAATTGAGCTTCAATCTCCAAAAGATATCATAATGGAGCTAGCAGTACCGGTTAGTGGGCACATAATGCAATTTAGGGATACCAAAAGTGCTGATAGTTGTAGGGATTGACGAGTGCGATACTCCGAATGAGTGTAGATCTAGGACTCCTTCGCTTTCTTATAAGAAGTGATGCCTCCCTGACTATCATAAAAATTGCGGAGCTAACTGGAGCGTCTCCTCTATTATTAGGTAATGCTATCTGAGACGACTGTATTTACGTCGAGTTCTAAAATAATTGTTCTATTTAGAGAGAATTCTTCGGTACCTAGCTGTAATAGATATGATTTAAGAGACCGGAGTTAATGAATATACTGTAAATAAGGTCACTTATATCTTGGCTGATCCTAAGGGCGAGGCTATAATATACCACGGGTAGGCTACAGTCTCCTATATCTAGTAAATATCCCTGCTTACTAGCCTCCTTATTAGATATGATACGATAGGACCTGTGTTATAAGCAATGCCTATATTCTTCGCTGAAAATAACTATCAAGATATTACCGTTAATACCAATACTCTATTCTAGAAAGCCTATAATATAAAACTTACTTCGTTCGAGTGGCTTATCTAGTAACTAAAGTAGTTCGAGAACCTGTAAAAGATCATGACTGTACTTTAAGGATCAGAATGGACCGAAGGGTTCAAACTTTTTGACGATAAAGCCTATAAGGTTCTATTTAAGGATCAAGAGACACACAAAAATGTCAACCAGGAAAGTGGATTCGACTAAGGATAAGAAAAGACCAGCCCTCGAGGAGGCCGGTGGGATTGAGAAAAAGCTTATGACTAATCCAAATCTTAACCTACACGCAATGGTAGAGTCATATCCTATATCCCTTCGCAAGAAAGATTCAACTAATTCACTTATACTATAGAGTCACTCCCAGATCGCTTACCATAGCTCACTTGAGGTTAAGGATAAGGAAAACCCTCTGCCTGCCTGTGTGGACAAAATGGTACAGGAGGCGCCATTTCTCAAATACGATACTAAGAAGAATATGGCTGCCAACGAAGGCGGTTTCGACATTTTTACAAGGATCGAGAAGCTCGAATCCCTGACCCAGAAGCTCGAATCCCAGAACCAGAAGCTCGAATCCCTGACCCAGAAGCTCGAATCCCAGAACCAGAAGCTCGAATCCCAGAACCAGAAGCTCGAATCACATCGTCAGAGCCATTTGGACCTTCGGCAAAGGGCTATCTCTACATGGGTACGAGATGCGTTTAGCAAGGTCACAGAACGTCGGAATGAGGAAATCCGCAGATTGAACAGAGATATTATCCATGGCGGCGATGTTCGATCCGATGCTATGGTAGTCAATGAGCGCTATAGCAGAAACAGTACCGAATGGAAAAGATTCAGTACTCTATATGGCCTCACCCCGGACAATGTGGAAGACCTCGGTATTGTCTACAACTTCTCTTAGCGCTGTTCTTATCGCTAATATATTCTAGACCAACATAAGTGCTATAGTTCTCTACAGGCCTTGGATAGAGCAGCCTCTATCCTACTGAAAAAAGCTCAGACAAACCTCCCTAACGAGGCGATTCGGAAGGAACGCGAGGACCTTGTCTCCCTGCTGCTAGAGAAGAGATATAAAGAGGCTGAGAAGATGAGTAGCAATTTTCTTTGTGAGAAAGAGTCGTCTGTGGCTGAAGAGTAGTCCTAGTCTTGGTCAAATGCTAGATATTGCTATCCAATGAATCGCTTTCTAAAAAAAGTCCATCTTATGATCACTTATAGTATTTCCTTCTTCTATTCCTAGATCGAGAGGGCGATCTCCTCGGTTGACCATATTCACACCTCTTCTAATATATAAGTAGCGCCAGCCTCTATCAATCTTCCTTTCTCTCTAATACTTCACTTTTTTCCCTTGATCTAATCTTCCGTAAGGTATGCCGCGCTATCTCGTAAAGCGTTACGGTTTTAGATGCTGGCAATACTATACGGTTAATAATTAGAAGTCGATCTGGAGGTTAACTAACTTTCGGTTTAATATTAAAGAAGATGCTAACTAAGAAACAATCTTTCAGGGGGAGGAGTACATTTCATTCAATCGATCGATGTATTCCGTTTTCTGAAACTTCATCGAACCGGGGCGACCATATACTGATTTTCATTCGGGACACCGAGTTTTTCCTTCAACCAGGTATGATCACGAGATTTCCAGGTAATGATACGCCTGTCAGCTTCATGCTTTCTCACCAACCTATGCCAAGCCTGAGCCCCTAAGCCTCCAGGTACTTGTACATTCCCTATGTCGATCAAACCCATTGACTGATGACCAACGACTATCAGTCCGTCTCGTGCCCGGCTAAGGCTCACACATTGACGGGGAAGGTTGTTAATAAACCCCATTCCCCACGGCTTCCCTGGCCGGGTGGTCGATAAGATGACAAACGTGCTTTCCGTTCCTTGGGCAGCATCTACACTCGAGATGCGGATTTTTTTATACCCTAATTTCAGGCGGATCAGCTTATCGAGAAGGTTCCTTTCCTCACTGTAAAAGGAAAGGATGAGGATGTCTTCTTGCAAGAAATTCTTTAGCATAAGCTTCTCTACAAGCTGGCCGATGAATTGAACGTAATCAGGGTTAAACACAGATGTCCCATTCTTCTGTTTCCAGAGAATTGAATTGTTGACTGACACAAAGTAGGACGTACCAGGTTCAATTTGAACGAAGGTTTTAGTCATGAAATTTGCGAAGTGTAGTGCCTTTGGCCTGCCAACACAGGAAGTGTGGGTTTCTAGCCTCCCATGATAATACTGAGTACTGACGAAGTCACTGATGTTCTGCGCCATCCGATATTGGGTATTCAGTTGGACTGTTGAACACCCGGTTTGAAGCATGCGCTCGAACAGGGACATCCTGTCTGAGGGAAAGCATTCATTTTTGCCGGCTGAAATCACAACCGGCGGGAGTTGTTGCCTATCGCCACTCAGAATGACCTTTTGCAGCTTTGAGTAATTCCTCATGACTGCAATGAGGCATGTTGGCTCTATGATCTGTGAGGCCTCTTCAATGAGGACAATTTGGGGTTTGAATGTTCGTAGAGACTTCCGTCCGGCGGTAGAGGCCGTGCAAAGAACCACCTTAGCTCGGCTCAAGTAGAACTCCTGCAAAGCGAGCCACCATCTTCGGTAATTTTGCACAATCATCTGATGAAGACTTTGTCGGTCGTCTTGATCGCCTTCTCGCGCACGGCCATGTACCTGTACAGCCAGAGCGTCCTCGTAGTCGGCTGGCTCCAAAAAGGTCCGTCCCTCTCGACGTAGTAGTTCCTGGAATGTGAGGAATTCCAGCATCAACTGCGATTCTTCATCTAGTTTGGCCTGCCTGAGGCGCCCGGAACTGACAGCTTCGTTGATACGCGACATGATTTGGCGCCCGAGAGATGAGCTTCTACCGGGAGCGGTCATTGAATTAATTGCCGATGTCAAAGTCGTCCAAATGTTATCGGAAATCCCACGCTCTCGAAGCTCCTTTTCAACCTCCTGAAATCCAGGACACGAGCTAGGATTTTGGCGCGTTGCATCAGTTCCCTCGGCGCCTTCCATCTCAGGAGACATCTGCATCTCCGGAGTCTCTCCGAAGTCAGTGTCCAGTCGGTAGAAACCGATGCCTGTAGGGTCATCAATGTTCAGCACCTCCCGAATGCGGTTTGCAATGACATCCAGCCCGTAGTTGGACCCACAGACAATCAAAAGAGGCTTGTTGTGTTTGAAGCAAAACTTAGCAATGACCGCTGAAATCTGCGTCTTGCCTGTGCCAGGTGGGGCCTCAATCAGCCCCATGAAACTTCGAAAAGTGGCACCAAAATTGAAGGCAGAGCTGACCGCCCGAATCTGTTGGGTATTCAGAGTTCTCTCAGACCGTAAAAAGATCTCGGCTTGACGGTCGATTTTCAACTGAGACGGCATAAAGAACTCGATGTTTGTGTTTTCGTTGCCCAACAAAAGCTGCTTCATCTTGTTCTCTCTTGGGATTTCGAAGTGATCATTTCCGTACATTGCATATCTGATTGCCTTGCGTGCTTGGACGATTGCCACTTGTGGGTATCCAAATCGAACATGACCTTCGAGCCTCAGAACCCGTCCAATGGAATCTCGATCCTGGGCTCTTTTGATTTGAATGCAAATAGAGGTGAGAGGGGTCTTCTTCACGCGATCAAGTACGGAGCTTGATATGACTTTTCCTACCCACTTTCGACTCTTGGAAGAGCCTCTCATCTCTGGCGAAATTGTCTCACAAGGATCGATCTCTACTGGCGTTCCAGGCTCTGGAAGAGGGAGAATTTGTTCCAGATTGATATCTTCGTTGTGTATTGTCATCACCTCTAGAACAGCGTAGTAATAGTCGGAAGGCTCGCCTTGCTTTGTGTTTGATCCGGGCATGGGAATCAGCTCAAATTCGTATGTCCTGTTGAACTGGTGTATGTACGCCTCTTCTTGTGCTGCGGTCTCCCGAAGGAGGCCGATCATCTTCACAGCCTCGTACTCCCTTTCGTTGATGAATGTGAGAGGGGCGTTGAGAAAGAAATTCAGCAATTGCATTTCCGGCTCGTATTTGTGGTCTCCCAAGGGGGCATTTTGCCAACCTAGCTGTCTTTTGCGATGATGGATTTGGATGATCTCATCAGACACCGATGGAATAGTATCAATAACCGAAAAAATGTCGCTGGCTTTGACGTAGGAACAGTTGTAATAAGGGTACGGAGGTGGTGTTGGGTTCGGCATTGCAGAAAATGCGTTCCAGTCCATCAGAAGATGTGCTCGAGCACGGGTAGTCACTGTGATCGACCAACCATTTCGGCCCAGTTCTTGGAAGTCGTGCACGCTTTTTCTCTGTCCGGAATCGAGGCTTTGAAGGACACTATTCGGAAGCATATGATCGAAGCAATGAGGGCCTTTCGTCCACGCCCATGAGATAACGTATCCTTCGGCACCCTCTGACCCTTGACATAGCTTGGCCGTCTGATTGTCAAGGATGGTTTTGGAAATCGTGACACTTGATAATCTTGCCGACAGTGTTATCGGAAATTGAGTGTCCGCATTGAAAGTGGGCACTCGGTTGGTCAAATTGCCGTCACCGTCCCATGCTGTCCATACCATTCGGAGGTTGTTCGTAACTTTCTCTCCTTTCAGCTTAAGAACAAGCTGGAGATACGGGATCTCCGCCCCCCCACGGATTGAGAACTCGAGGGGTGCGTTTGAGATTGAGGCAATGATCTTAGGTGTGGTCGAATCGCGTACTTTGAAGGTCAAGTAGCACCCATACGTGTCGACCCCGGATTGGTATCGGTGGAGAGAAACCTGACCAGCCCTGGAAGCGTGGAGCTTTTTGGGGCGCATTTGTGTGTAGATATTGGGATCGACAGGCGCGTAGGCATTGTACCATCGCAAATTGGACTCGGACCGCGTTAGGTCTCCCGTAAAATTGTGTTTCCCATTCGAAGTCATACTGTGGAAAGCATGTATGACCTGTGAAAGGAAGATTGTCCTGAAGAAACGATGAATGCACAACTTGAGTGTGAAAATGGTGAGTTGTCCGGATGAAGAGACGAAGAGAACAAGAGAAGAAGAGAAGAAGAGAAGGTAGAAGGGGAAAGGGGGAACAGACTAAGAAGAGAAGAAGAGAAGAAAGAAGAGGGAGGGGAGGTGGGGGACAGACTAGGTACACGTTCATTGAAACAATGCAAAGGTTTCCTCTCTCGGCTCGAGTCCTGCTTGTCTCCGTCCAAGTCCTCACTGTCTCGGTCCTCTCGGCCTCTTTAGATCTAGGTCCTCATATTTCTTGAACAAACGCTATGAACTTATAAGATGACAGCAGCCTAAGTATATTTTCTCACGATATCTTCAAATCGTGTTCTAAGACGCTATCATCTTTTCCACAAACAGTGAGAATCTTGAGATGCTTAAGAATGCTAATCTTACCAGGAAGCTGAGCCAGGCTCTCTACAGTGGAAAAGTCGCGCGGCGGTAATGAAGATGCACGGGGAGTGGGATGATAGACTATAAATAGCAGGGAGAGTAGTTTGTTTGATACATCGCTTGATAGAGACAGAACCAGATTCCCACGTTCTTTCGCCTATAAGCCAAATCGTTCAAAAATATTTACTAATCCCCAATTTTCTATCCTGGCTAGACCCCTCTCGCCTCCATCCTGGCTCGCATTGCCCAGACCTATGGAGCCCGAGGGAATTGTTGGTCCTCGCTCGTCAGCTAGAATAGTTGGCCGCATGGAAGATCTTCAGCAGTGGTATGAGGAGTACGAGGAAAAGTGTCCTATCTTGACCCGGAAAGATGCGAGATTCATGATACAGTTCCCACCGGAGTTCAAGCTTTGGCCCACGATGTTTTATGAGCGGTACCCAGGGCTCCGGCCAACAAGGAACCCCCAGCACTATTGCTACGGAACAAGGGAGGAATTCGGTTATGGATGGCATTTACGTCCGGGAAGATACCTGGCTACGTACGAGGGTGAATTCTACGACGACTATTCTCGATTTGTCCGGCTATGGCCTACGCCAGAGAACCACGGGAGAAGAGTCAATTGGAAAGAAGCACAAGCAGCAGTCGCTAAGGACGGAAGTTCAATCGTGGGAACCCTCCTAACTCGAGATGAAGTTAAGCAAATCCCACCTCAGGTGATCACTAGGAAGCGGTCACAATTCCCAGTCTACGATGGTTGGCAGGAGCTGGACCCCACGTGTGACCGAACTGTGATTATTGGAACGATTGGGTCCACCACGTCTTCCTCCCCTATCATTGTATCTGCTGATCAAGATCTTCTGGATCGACTGCGACAGGCTAGACTCTTAAGTCTGTCAACCTCTGCAACCCTTGACAATAGTGGATCCCCTTTGTCCTCAGGACCATTTGACCCCTCTGATAGTGGAATAACAACGTCTTCTGCTCAACCTCGCTCGTTCCAATCATTCTCTTCTGGTAGTGGCAAGTCTCTCTCCTCTGTGGTTCATCCAGTAGGAGACCTGCTACTCACGTCTTCGCCTATCTTTGCTAAAGCTCACACTCGCATCATCAGGCGAGACCCTGATTGGGGAAAAGGACTCCGCAGGCTAGCTCCTCATCAAAACCTCAGAACGTCAATCGATCATCTCAAGAACAAGAGGCTGGCTGAAGGACGGCCTCTTATGAGTTCTGAAGGAGAAGTCAGTGAGCGGCAAGCAAGAAGCCCCTCAGAGGACCAGACACCTCCAGAATCCCTTATCTACATTAGTTCCGCCTCCATTCCTTCTTACTCCGCTCCTGAAAGAGATTCAGATTTCCCCCACCCCTCGGACAAATCCAAGCCACTGGCTCAACGTGATCCTGTCTCAGAGCGTTGTCCTACTCCTGGAGCAGCTCAACCACCAATGAGCGGATTTACCAGTCCCCCAGGTGCAGCTGCACCTGGTGAAGATTGGGATCCCGACCATGGTCTCATCTTCAACCCAGATATCCTCAATAAGAGCTCAGCCGAGATTTTTCCTGTTCGAGCTGCCACCAGAGGTGGAGGAAAAAGCCTCCCTGCCTATGACCCTAGCTACGACCATCGTCTCCGTCAACCTTCTCGAACTCCTACGAATCCATCGCCTAGCGGTCTTCAGCACGACCCAGCCACCTTCTACTCGCACCCTCAGATCAGCCAGGATCTTGGCAATCAGCTATTCGCGAACCCCAGCTTGTTTGCCGCCTTCCTCCAGTTCCAATCCAGCATGAATAACCCGGAGCAACTCCCACCTCCACCCCCTAAGGTCCAACCTGAATCACTACGAGAGATCCCGGCCCGAGAGGATGACAATGTCAATTGGACGGAGGTGGTGAAGCAGTTGACTACCAGGATCGGGGAGCTAGAGCAGAAGAACCAAGCTGGACCCTCTAACAAGGACTCGACCTCTACGGCGTCGAAGCAACCTCCTCCGAAAGAAGTCCAAACTACTCCTCGTCGACCTACCCCAGCAGTTTCCGAAAGGTCTCGACTCAGCGACACAAGATCGGTTCCGAGGACCTTAATACCCCGTGACCAATCTTCAGCAGAAGAGGAGCGAGGGTCTGCTTCGTCTCCAGCTTCCCCCCTTCTTGTGACCCCGAAGTCATCTACCCAACCAAAGAAGCCACCCAAGTCACAGGGAAAGCACAAGTCACGCCAGTCCAGCTCCACGAAGCTAGTCAAACGATCCGTCAGTCCTTTTGACCCGAACCTGATGCCCAAACTGAAGAAGATGATGTTCAAGCCCAGAGAGATCGTCCAGAATCAGGAAGTGATGAGCATCTTGGACAAGAAGGAGATCGGGAAACCTCTAGCTGCCTACATCCGTGACATGGCGGCTCCTAATCGACCCACCCGATTCAAAGGCTGGAAGGGTAGTGACTCGTTACCGGTGTCCCTAGAAGGCAAGAAAGACAAAGAACTTAGCACTGGAGAACTACAGACTCTGATGGATTACGGTCCAAGTGTCCGGAAAGAGTTCAAGAAATCCTTCAGAGGAGAAGGAAACTTGCGGAAAGCCCTTCACGACCAGCTGGATTTAATTGAGGATGGGAAATTTAACCGCCCAGCTTTAGCCCTCAATTCTCTGAACTCGGATCTTATTGCAAGCTTTGTGTCTCGTTACACTGCAGTGCCCCGGGGAGATAGTGACGAAGGGAGCGACCAGGCTGAGGAAGAGCGAGAATCAGATGGTGTTGGAATATATGTGTTCCTGTTTTAATGATGTAATTGATGATGTCATTGATTGCTTACTTTGTTACATCCCATCTTGCTTTGTTACATCTGAAGAAAGTCATGATTCATCTGAAGAGAAGTCATGAATCATCTGATCTTTGATTTACCGAGTTATCCGCGATGTTTGATTGCTATAAGAAAGCCCCAAATTGTACTGAATGTTAGTTAGACAAATTGACTATTTCATCCCATGATATACACTTTGATCTCATCTTTGACCTGACACCTTGACCGCCTAGCTGTTTATCTGTTTAAACACTACGCATTTGACCCCTCGAGAGTGCATTACAAAGCATTGTGCCTAGTTCTACCACACTCTAACAGTTATGAGCCCGGCCTGACCCTTTTATCTAAAGCCAATATTAACTGTCCATCTGATCTTATCTTATCCAATCTTCTTCTATCTGATTTTGCCACCATGATAGAAGTGAAATCCCTAGTTACACTTAGTCAGTAATCTAATTGGCTAGTCTGGTATATATATATTAGATCAATTGCCGTTAGTTACCGACTATGGGATTATGTTAATCCGGAAGAAACAATGACCTAACCAATGCCAACTGAACCTATTCGTCCCATCTTTGCTGAGACATTTGCAAATAATGAGACAATATTTACTTTGACCAATCATCAACTTTCTCTCTAGTAAGAATTGAGATAAGAATACGAGATTGATTATAAACGATTTGAGACGATTGATAATAGGGCTCGAGCCCTATTCTATACCATTATTGGATTAATTTCAATAAATAATAGACGACTAATTAGTAACGCCACAGCTAGTCGAGATACTTTATCTATACTATATAATATCTATGTACTAATAAATGAATCATAAAAACGTCACGTGATACGCTAATAGTACGCTTTACAGTAAGGACTATTATATAATCGATTGATCGAGAAGTGGCTTATAAATTAGGAGAATATCTATATAGAAGTATCCTAAACTGAAATCGCTAAAGCTATAGGATCATATGCTTTATACAACTTTCTTGAAGCTGTGGGATTGTTATCCCTATATTTTACTAAGTATTAGACTAATCATTTTATAATAATCAAAGAATCAGGTAGAATATTGCCCGATTTCTATTTACTGATTAAAAAATACTGCGATTCTATTTATCTGAACCTGCTAAAGATTGTAATAAAGGTTGTATATACCACTTTCTAAGGTAATAAATAAAGCGGTAAAGACTAAAGCAGTAAAAACCAGTAGAAAGATCAGACGAAACCGATATATGATCTCTAATGCCCTTACTAAGAAGACCTAAAGTAAGGAAACCATATATTTGACGACTGCCACTATATTAATCCTAAGAAGAGACTAAACGATTGGAAAGCGTTACCTGATATAGAAGAATGCTTCGAAAAAGCCTGTTAATATGAAGGTTTTAATTATATGTATCAAAATGCCCTAAAAAAGCATGCTTTAGATAATAAAAAGAATAAAATGACGATAATGATAATACGATTTAGTAGCTATACTATTATATAAATATAGAAGTTATATAATAATCTCTTACGTAATCTCTAGGTATTTAATATAGGATCTAATACCTATCTGTGTAATAATATAAGCAAGTTTATTAATTATATACCGAATTCATCCTATGTTTCTATCGGAGATATAATTATAAAAATTGATAGTTTTAGGACCGTTTTGGTGGAACCCACTGAGTCATCTGATTAAACTGTGTTTAAATTGATAAATATGGTATATTCCCTAGGTTTTTATCTTAACTTGATATCAGCCGGATTGGTAGAGAAAGTAGGTATATGGTATAATAGATGAAAAAGCTGCCTTAAAAACGATAAAGGAAGCCTTATTTATAAGGTTAAGAAGGATTCTAACCTGATTTTCGTCTAATGGCACTAAGATTCCCTCAATTACCTATTAAAGATTGATAATTAGATTGATATAATTGATTCATCTGATCTTATTAATCATATGACTGTACTTAATGTCTTATATATAATACGGTTAGCTGATCCCTATATAGTAAGCGGGTCATATGATCTATGGTATACCCGTTTAGGCCATCCTAATATACAAGTGCTCGACTATCTCGAAAAAGTAGCTGAAAACGTTAAAATTAATAAGAATTTAACCCTTTCTTCTTATGAAATATACCTGATTTCTAAGGTAAAAAGATAGATATCCTATCGACCAATTATAATGGGAGAAAACCTATTTAAAGCTGTTTATTAGGACTTGATTTATATAATAGAAGTATATAATCACTATAGATATATCTCTTATCTAATCGATCCCATGACTAAATACTAGATTTCGTCTAATCTCAGTTGTAAAGATCAGGTAATAGACACAGTTTGGATGAAATTTGCCCTTATTGATACCTAATTTAATATCAGACCAAAGGTTTTGTATTGCGACAGAGATAGGAATTTACTCCTATTCCTTATAGAATGCGAAGAAAAAGGAATTGAAGTTTATATGACCCTACCTTATTAACCTGAGCAAAATAGCTACGCTGAGAGGTTAGGTACTTTGATCTTAATTATAGCGTGTACCATGCTTATTAATACCAATTTATCTGTATATTTATGGCCTAAGGTAGTTAATACTACCGTTTATATCTAGAATAGGCTCTCTAATAAGTAGCTGAACTGGATATCTCCCTAATAAGCGCTAGTTAGCCGAATGGTAATACCCCTGGTTTATATGGTAATAATCCTATCTTTATTAAATATTAAGATTTATGGTTATAAGGCATACGTTCGAATCCTATTAATACCACGTTTATTTAAAATAAGTGTATATATATAGATCGGCTATCTCGTCGGATATAATGCTTCTAATATATAGTGTATTTAGATACCCTAATCTAGGAAAATTATATACGCATGTGACGTTGTCTTTAACGAAATAAGCTTCTATACCCTGGAATGGGAGAACAATGTTCTAGTGGTAAATGAGACCAATGAAGTGATCTTAACACTAATTTAGTCTGAATTCAACCAACTAATTAATGAAATTGAGGTTACTAAAGAAATCGATATACTAGATGAAATATATGACGAATAAGCAGAAGATTAATTAATGACTAAGGCATCCGAATAACCTAAGGTAGAAGAAGTAGAACTAGATAAAATCCTTGGCAATCTACTAGTAATACCAGATAAAAGCGAGCCAGACGAAATCCTTGGAGATCAGCCTATTATACCATTGGAAAGCATTGATAATCAACCATATAACGACGGTCTAATGGTATTTATTGATAATTCTAACTTTAATGGAGATGATTATATATCTCTAAAACGACTATTCTTACTAAACGATGACGACGAAGACGAAGAATTACCTAATAAGAAATATCGGACGAATCTAATTCTAAGCTATTTGTACGTGTTTTTAATAGTATTACTCTCTTAACCAAAGAAGATACCGGTTGATAGTTTGCTAAAAGAACCAGATAACTGGTCAGAAGTACAAGTTCATACCTATAAAGCTAAATAGTACTATGTAATATAAGTTGAATACAATAAGCTGAATAAGATAAATGCTTGGATGCCTGAAAAAACTGATCATATAACGCAATTACATTCGTCTGAATGTAGAAATATATCTTAGAATACCTGCCCTAGGCATTAAATTCTTCTAATCCGATGGGTATTTAAATATAAATTAGACGAAAACGGCTTTTTAATATAGTTTAAAGCTTATATTTGTGTTTATAGTAACCTTTAGATCATTGAAGATAAAGAAGACGTTAGGGCTATAACCCTAGTAGCCTATACCCTGTGTATATTGCTAGTAATAGTAGCTATATTTGATCTAGAAACCTTCTAAATAGACGCGGTGAATGTATTTCTTAACAGTTCTCTTTTACCCTATCTATACTACCAGTTTCTACTGGGATACCGACGATAAAGGTATGTTTTACGACTAAACCAAGCTCTTTATGGCTTACGAATCTTGCCATGTTTATAGGAAGAAATAATTAAATTAAAGCTTATTAAGATAGGCTTTTATCCTATTCCTAAAGACCTATGCCTTTTCTTAGATGGAAAGGTTATATTGATGATCTTTATTGATAATCTTCTTAGTATATATCTTGTAAAATATTAAAAATATGCCGAATTCGTTAGAAATTGTCTTTATCAGAGCTTTGAGATGAAAGACTGTGGCGAATTGACCTAATTCATTGGTATATATGTGATTAGAAACTAGATGAAATGGAAAATCTGGTTGAATCAAGATATATATATTGAGAAGATATCCTATCGATTCTATCTAACTAATAGGAAGCCACTAAAGATACTACTTCCTAGTGAAAATCTTATTTATATATCACCTGATACGTTATCATCTGATATATTATCATCTGATTATAAAGCTTATCTATAGCTAATCTAGTACTACCAATTATTGGTAGGATTAATTGGTTTTGCTGCGGTTATGATATAACCCGACGTTGCTTTCGCATATCAGATGCTTTCTTAATGGCTGATAAAGCTAGAAAGAAGTTATATGATCGCTATAGAGTAAATAATCTCATACCTTTATAGGACGAGATATTATTCTATTGAATTTAATGGGTCATATGATCTATAATATATCTTTCGAGTAGCTTTAGATATAAGCTTTACTAATAATATTGGACGAAAAAGCTTGTAAGGCTTCATTTTCACCCTATTTAGTAGTCTAATTGATTGGTTAGTAAGAAAACAGCGAGTTGTTATAACGTTAATAATGGAAGCTAAATTGGTTATACTTTTAGAAGTAGCTAAATACCTTCTTTAGATGAAAAGACTGCTTAATTTAATTGAATTTAACGCCTAACACGATCTAATACTGTTATATAATAATAAGCAAACGATCGATCTGATGACGAAATCCAATTTGCTGTATCAGACGAAACTGCGTCACGTGGATATTAATAAACATTGGTTGCGAGAAAAGGTAAGAAATAGAGATATATATCTCTAATGGATTCTAATAAATACCATGATTGCCGATGGATTAACGAAATACCTTTCGTCCCAAAAACACCTCGAATTCTTGAATCAGCTGAATTTGAGACGATTGCCTAATCGGGTAACCGAATTCGACAATGTTTGATCTGTTCTTCTCTCTTTCCTGTTTTATCCCATGTTTACAGCTTTTGACTAAGGTCAAAATCTGAAGGGGTGTATTGGAATATATGTGTTCCTGTTTTAATGATGTAATTGATGATGTCATTGATTACTTACTTTGTTACATCCCATCTTGCTTTGTTACATCTGAAGAAAGTCATGATTCATCTGAAGAGAAGTCATGAATCATCTGATCTTTGATTTACCGAGTTATCCGCGATGTTTGATTGCTATAAGAAAGCCCCAAATTGTACTGAATGTTAGTTAGACAAATTGACTATTTCATCCCATGATATACACTTTGATCTCATCTTTGACCTGACACCTTGACCGCCTAGCTGTTTATCTGTTTAAACACTACGCATTTGACCCCTCGAGAGTGCATTACAAAGCATTGTGCCTAGTTCTGCCACACTCCAACAGATGGGGAACCAGAAAGAGAATCAGATGGAGAATCAGATGGAGAATCAGATGGAGAATCAGATGGAGAATCGGATGGAGAATCGGATGGAGAATCGGATGGAGAAGCAGGTCGGGAATCAGAAAGCCCCCCACCAATCTCGAAGGAGTCTACTCCCAAGAAGTCGACCAAGAAAGCCCTTCCTAAGGAAAAGGCCACCAAACCCAAGGGAACCAGGTACGAGGAATCCAAGCTTGGAGACCCATCCAAACTCCGAGCCAAGCTCAAGGATCTTCGTCGGCAGTTAGTTGACACTCGCAAGCTGGCCTTAAGCCATGAGGCACTCATCCGGAGCCAATGGAAGGAAAACAGGGAGCTACGAGATCGCGTTCTGCAGGGAGAAAGTCTACTGAAAGAATACCTGCATACCAAGAATCAGGTCAAGAACTGGGGGCCGGTCCCACCTCGAACCACTATGCCAGAGTTCATCAACCTGGACAGTGATGACGAAGTTTCTTCTCAGAATTGATGAAAAGGACTCGGTGGAAGTCAAGAACTACGGATTCCAGGTTAATCCGTCCCGGCGGAGGACCCGGCAAGATCGGGAGTATTTATACTACTGGTTGTTTTCCCCTCGCTCAGTTAATGCTTGTTTTTAATTTTATCCATTTAGCCATTGAATTCGTGCTCCGTATAGCTGGCTTAGCCTGGTTTTGCCTAGTTTGTACTTGAAGCCTATCCTGAATGATTCGTTTGCCTTGTCATCAGCGGTATTAAATTAGGGGATTGGTAATATCACCCCTCCCTTGAAATTACCCCCCCTGCCTGATCTTTCAGGCAATTTTACCACCGCCTTCCTAATCGAGTACCGCATTTCCTCCGCCACCAACTCCTATCTTTCCCTCTCTATACCGCCTTCCAATTTTGTATACCGCCTTCTTAGTAAACCTAGGTACCTGCACTTTGTATGTAAAATCAAGTCAATTTAGATCAAACAGATTGACACCTTAATTCTGCTTTATGCCTTTCAACCATAACACCCAGCAAGGCAGTACACAGCAAGGCAGCACCCAGTAAGGCAGCACCCAATCTTCGGCAGACCCTCTTACCCAGGAACAGGATCGATCTACACAACGAGATCCCTCGGGATTCGAATATATACTAGCGCAGAGACGAGGACGAGGTCGGGGAGCTACCGCTACTAAAGCTACTGCTACTGAAGCGACCTCTAATACGGGACGTGGCTGTGGCTGTGGCCGAGGACGTGGTCAGGGACGTAGAGCGAGTATAACTATGACCGAGGGTACTGAGGATAGTACTGAGAGCAATGCTACCGAGGCCAGAGGTCGGGGACGTGGTCGAGGACGTGGTCGAGGTCGGGGACGTGGAGGAGAACGCGCGTAGGGGGCTGATTAGATCAATTTAGTAATCAATGAAATATATGATTTTTTCTGACCAAAATGCATATTTTTTTTCTATGTAGGCAGAATTCGTGGCAAAAAAAATAAAGTATGGCAGTATTCTTGGTCGTGATTAATTAGGAAGGCGGTACTGAAAAATCAGGCAGGGTGGGTAATTTTAAGGGAGGGGGGGGTGATATTACCAATCCCCTTAAATTATATAAAATATAAATGCTAGTATTATAAAAGTTTTGTTAGGACTAGCTACTAGCGTATCCTGAAATGGAGGTCTGAACTAGAGTAGAGGTTCCCAAGATGGCTCATACAATTGAGTAGACTAATCGCTAAGGTTCTAATTAGACTTCGACACAGCCCGACTAGGCCCGACCCGACCTAGCCCGACCCGTGGACGGGTTGGGCTTTGGGCCTGACTTCTCGGCCCGTGGTCGGGCCACGGGCCTGACCCGTTTTAATTCAAGCACCGAATTTCTACCGTTATAACCGGGTTATCATTTTATCCGGTATCGTTATAAATAGGTTTTACTACAAGTAGTCCCGACGCCGCGCCGCGGCGCGGCGGACTGGCTGCAAGTATCATACTCAGCGTCGAGCAAACTATCCAGTTAGTTATCTATATATTGAAGAGCAAGAAGAAAATGCAAATAGCAAATAAGAAAGAGGCCAAAGAAGGCCAGAGCGTGTTTTGATGGGGTGCGCAAGTGGTCTGACCGGGCCACCGTACGGCGGTCTGCAGACACGACAGCCAATGAGAGGCACGTACCCGGTTCTCGCCAAGCAACCCAATCCCCATTCGGGTATTGGGTTACCACGGCTAGACAAAAACTCTTGCTCAACGCAAATTTTGAAGAACGCGTCAATTTTTTTCTCCCCCAATAACGCCTATAAAAAATCCTAGAAAATCCTAAAAAATACTCAATCGATATTTACATCATCCATAGGTGGAATCCATGGAATAAACCGGGGTCCTGGGGTAGGGGTTTCGTCTAAATCAACAGGCTATATACCCTGCTTTTTTAACTGCCTTATTTCTTGCACGTATTCCTTAGATTCTCGCTCTCGGATCATTCGATTTACATCGCTAGCAGTAAGTAGACTACCTATATTGATCTATCGCTTGGTGATACGGGTCTCCTAAGCTAGTTTATTATATAGAAGGTAGGTATTGTCCTCGGCGAGCTGAGTAGCTAGCTTAGCCGTAATTCGAGTACTTTGATATAATAACTTTACATAATGTTAAATAGAGGTATAAAGCTTACTATCTAGTAATTTAATGTCTGCTTCCAATTTGCGAGTACTTTTAGTAATACGAGCAGGCCATAGGGGGGGGAATTAGTGATTAAACTTAGGAAATCAATCTTAGAATTATCGTCTTTACCGAAAATAACGAGATCTAGACTATAATCCACGGTTTTTTCGAGGGGATCGAGCACCCTATAGTAGTCAAATAGGTAAATACCATAATTTATAAAGCTAGATTTAATTACTTTGGTTATAAGGGTGTTTCGAATAGAGACAATTTCCTGGAAAAAACGCATTTTCGTTCGATAGAACCACCCATTAAATAACGTTATTATTATTAGACTGGTAGTAACCATTTTAGCAGTAGGCGGAGAGAAAGTATTATCTAGCATAGTGATCCAGCTAATTATTACTTCTTCTTGATCGGGATTTAATACTAAATTGGGGGGGTAGCGCGTCGAGCGAGAAGGCCGCCCATTTATCCTGGCGTATAGGCGAGTATAAGGAACGTCGAATTCACGCGCCAATAGCGCGATTTTTGGTTTTTTTCTAGAATTCCAGGCAGAAATAGCAATTTCTAACCGAGTCTCCAAATCTTGGGTTTTTTAGGTATGCTGGTGGGTAAAAAAATGGTATAGAAAATGGTAACTCTTCAAAATTTGCGTTGAGCAAGAGTTTTTGTCTAGCCGTGGTAACCCAATACCCGAATGGGGATTGGGTTGCTTGGCGAGAACCGGGTACCTCGCGACTTTCCGAATAGATAATCGTCTTATTGTGCACTAGAATCTGTCACTAATTCATTGCCTCCCACTACTCATTATCGGAGCCTAGTCCAGTCTTGGTTCCGTATGCCTGTATTTGCCCCAAAATTCGTATCCCCTTGGCCTAGAAGCCCGATGTGATACAGACACTGGCAAAGAGACACTCCAGTCGCACCTGTCAAGCTCCCTTGGTCATCGTTGTAGATAACAGGTGAGTACTCTAGAACCCATTTTCTGTTGATGTCCACCTTGCGGAGAAAGATGGTTTCGTGGTAGAGCGTCAGAACGCCATGCTTGATCTCCGTCTCAAGCATGTACGTCGCGACTTGACCTATATCAATCTATGTTTTAGTAGGTAAACAGATGTTGTAAGGGATTGGCTTACCTAGCAAGTGCCAAAATGACGTTTCTTCAAGCGCGTCAAAGCGATCAATCGCAGCGCTTAACAGATGCTTCGGTATCCATGGTACCTTGGCTTCCTCAATGACCTTTATCAAGCCGGATCGATTCATGATGACAAAATCGGGAGCCTTGCGATATCCAGCATACGGCAGCTTGGCGGCTTTGAAGCTGCTAAACGTAAGGTCCTGCTGCTGGGCTTTGAATACGGCTCCGAGAACTTGACCTGCGCGCCCGAAAAATCTCCCTTGGACATCTGTCTCGCATGAAACAACGACATGTTCCTCAGTGGTTGAATTAGACGCATTTGGCCCTGTAAACTTGGCGTCTATAACTTGCTGGCTCCAGGTCTGAACATTGCAAGTATTCAAGACCTCGGCCTGGAAATTTGGCCATAGCCGTAGGGCTCCTGTAAAATAGATGTCATGCAGGGCGGAGCTAGTGGTGGTCTTAACGCCGATGTTCAGGTCTGGTAAAGGCTCCAGGAGGGCGTTGAGTGGGGCGAAGGAGGTGAGGTTGTCCATCGTGATGATTTAGGACGAGTTTTCAGCTAGACGGCGAGTTGACAAAAGATAAGGACGCGTTGGTTACGAGCAGAATATTTTTCAAAATAGGACGAGCAGTTCTGATGTCCTCTATATGCGTACCTTCCATATTGGGAAACAACGTAGATGGCAATACTCGAAATGGTATGGTTACCCCAGTTAGAAAGGCTTGAGCATGTCTCACCGCCTGTTGTTATTAATTTCTTACAATATATGCAATACGAAGAGTAACGAGGCTATCCGGAAGGGGAAGGGGGGGGGGTCACACAAAGTTGCGATTGACTAGGGAAATAGACGAGGGATAGGCGGGACGACGAGGAAGGCCGAAAGGGGTGAACGCAGACCGAGTGTAATACGCCCTATAGTCTTAAGTCACCCACATCCAAGGTTGCCAAATCTCCATCAAAAGACCTCTATAGATGACATACAAACATAGCTCAACCTAGCTAGATTGGCCATAGAAGAGCTATATGAACCTACCAAGAACCACCAACCTAGAAACCACCGGGATGTTGCCCTCAATCAGATTGCCACAGCAAATGCTAGCCTGACCTTGACGCTATTTTCAATGGTCAGACGTCAATCAGGGTAACAGCCTGCAACCAAGCTCAGAACGATGTATTATGGCACAGGTGGTCCTTGATCGGGATCCCCTTTTTCAAACAGGCTGAACAGTCCGATTCAGATATATGCCCGAGGACAAACGAGTCAACTACATGGTCAAAAAGGAGTATTGAGCAGCACTAGAGATGAATAGCGGTCGCTCTTTACCTGCTGCAAGGCTATCCTGATAGTGAGAGCCTACTAGGATTGGAAGTAGAGTTGGAGTACTCAGCCCAGGTAGGTTCTTTCTAAGGGGATTATGCGATATCCGCTATCGAAATTACGAGAAGTGAGGAGTGTTACTCCCAGACGCGAGATATCAAATCAATGTACTGGTATTCAACTAAGCAACTAAGCACAAGACTAAGAGAGAGAAGGGAGGAGGACAGATGGCCAGCGAGCTATGTGAATAGTAGGGATCTATGCCTTAGGAACCATACATAAACATCAGGCATTAATTGACAAGTATGTGAATCATAACACGGGGCTCTGTGGCTAATTTAGGGACTAGGAGAGCACCTCGGCCTACGTACCTATAATGACTTCGCACGGTTTGCGGCTATAAGCCTTTGATCTTGCAGCTTATTGTTGCTAGAGGGGTAAGTACTGCGATAGGAGGATAAGGAAGACTGGTTTAAATTCATTTAGGAACTCTGCGAACTGATTAAGAGGTAATTACACTAGGTCTTCCTGCAAATGTCTTCTTTGCCACATACTTCTTTATCTAGCGAAGAAAAGAAAGCATGATAAGACCTTGAATCAAGCTTGACTACCTCGAAAGGTCGCCTTCCTACAGCGAGATCCATTGTTCGGCTACTTCCAATATCGAGATTCTGCTCTGGGCTGGAAAGAATACTGAGAATTAAAGCATTGTGGCAATTGTAATGCCATTCCTAGCGCGGACCTCCTATCTTTGAACCGGCCCAAACTACCATTTCCATTTTGTGGTATCCCGGTCCCATCCCTCTTTGAGCCATGCATGAGAGTTCGGCTCGACGAGCTCGAAAAATGCCAATTGTTTGGTTATGTCAAGAGCCGGAGGTGGGGTTTGGGTCTTGGTTATGGTGCAGCGGAGGCGAAATCCGATAAAGTAACTAAAGATTGTCAGTACGAGTATTCCCTGGTACATATGGCTCTGCTTCGACAAGTAATAGGTAATGCTTCAACATACAGGGTTCTTGAATCTTTATTCCATACCAGGCTAGTAAGCCCGACGTTATCAGGGAAATACCCGATTGCCTGGATCGCCCTAGTATCAGTGTTAGTTTGTTAGTTATGAATGTAATGAAGGAGGGATGGCGACTTACTGGATATTTTTCACGAAGCATTGCCGGATTTCCTCTCTCTCGGGATATTGTAAGGCCCAGAACTCGTTCGACCCATCCATATTACCGAGGCGTACTCCTGGCACTTTCTCCCATACTAACCAGACCGCGAATCCTCCCGGAACTGGCCCCGACTTATCCTGTGTTGAGATTTTGTATCCGAGGAGCTTCGGGGTAAAACCTAAGTCTTGGGCAGTAAGGTCCTGGTAGGCGAGTAGCTCTCTCGGGATGTGTGTGATAGCCTGTTTAGCTCTTGTATCCGCGTTATCTATCTCAGTACCACTGTAAGGAACCTGGAGATAGATTCGCATAAAGGCAAGGTTTTTAGGGTGCTTTGGGTCACAACATAGGAGCTTGGTGACAGCGAGAGAAAGGCGTTCACCACGGCGATACTCAGCTTCGGTAAGTTGCCGGTCATTCTCACTCAGCTTCTCGACAATTTTCCATCTTGAAGGGACGGGCTTGTCGAGGCTGATAATTGTGCCAGGGTCGACGCCTTTCCGAAACCAGGGAGGCATGCTGAAAGCGAGAAGGGCGTAAATGTAAAGGTTGATGACGTATGGAATATGTAACTGTAAGCTTGGAAGTGGGATGTGGGAAAGAGGGCTGTTGAGGGTGAAGGGACTGAAGGGTGGGGAGAGGAGAGAAAAGAAGAGAGAAGTGGATTGGAGAGCTGAATCAACAGGGAACCTAGATGTTATGAGGTGACCGCATATGAAGCTATCGTAGAGAGAAAGTTGTGGTGGCGGGGCCAAAGTTACGGGTGGAAAGGCAGCCGTTTCTGGCAGAGTTCCGCCCAGGAACCCGACATTTGGCGGCTCTGCTATGTCAAATCCGAATTAGGCTTAGTTGCTTTTCTTATACTCTAGCTTGGCACCCTCCATCAGTACATTTCCTTCCTCCCTTTTCATCACTGGCATCAAGTCTGTCTTACCTTTCATCAGCTTATCGCCTTTTTTTCATCTAGCTTATCTACTGGTATTGCTCTTCTCCCAGCACCTCAATAGCCTGTCACCTCTTCTTTCATCCAGTTTGATCAGCGCTTCGTGTTCTTACCTGCATGATACCGTCAACATGTCAACCCTTAATAAGCCTGCCGAGCCCCCCGTAATCCCCGAAAGAATATCATCTCTTATGGCGCCTTCTCGTCAGTCGGCGTTATGCACTTATAAGCAAAGGTCTGTGAGTATAGTATCCCGCCTTTCGGAGATGTCGGTCGACTCCATAACGTCCGATATTCTTGAATTGAAACTCGCTGTAATGGAAAGCGAACTCGAGTACATTCGTTGTGTCCGAGACGGTCTGAATAAAGCAAAATAGATGGGAAGGATCTCCTATGACGCCTTTTAGTGAGAGATTCAGCCCTTCTTGAAGTCCTTCCGCACGTTATTAGCAAATATTTAAGTCCTGAAGATACAGCGCCTACTGATCATCGAAGATATTGATAAAGAAGTTTCAGCGAAACGGCAGAGGATTGAAGGACTGGTTGACTAAAGCCTGCTTAAGTATACTTACCGCGATGCTATAATCTCCTGTATGCTGGGTGTAAGTGTAAAACAGAAGGGTCCTAAGTTTGATCAACCTGCGTTTAAGAAGGGAGTTTATGTGTACTATGGTATCAATGAGTACTATCGCCCTGGCTTTAGGTAGTGTTATGTATTAGGTACTGTACTTCCCTAAAAGTATATTAAAGCTGCCTATCTTATACCCAAATCTATGATATCCAAGGAAGTTTCCTACCTATTTGGAGTTAGTAATAGAGTTCTTGGTAACCCCCGAAATGGTAGGAATATTCTCTTTGTAGTAAGGGAAATGACTGACTTATATAAATTAGGTATCACACTGGTAGATAATATTGAGCTACTTTTCGACTAAGGTACCATCGCGATTGTACCTATGCCCGGCCTAATGGAAAGCCCTACTTAATAGGGGTATATTGTCTTAGATGAATTAAAGAATAAGGATACTATTAGTATCTTTGGTGGATCGTATATAAAACTAAAGGTCAGTATTATAAAAGCTAGAGTTAAGTATTATATTAATGATATAATAGGAGATTGACAATAAGCTACTAACGTTCCTTTCCGACAACCGTCCTCGCTGACAGTATTTATACTTCTGCTTCATTGTTGCGTACCTGAATGTAAAGAGCCGAGGCGCCGGTAACGCCGTTGCGAAAAAGGTTGAAGCCACGCGATTTTGGCCCTCCGCCGGCGAGTACCTTAACCGGTCAATACTGGTCACATTAGCCCGTTGTGTTTTAGGATCGGAACTCCCTAAATCCCTTATTTAAGATAAGACGTTTGACTCCGGCGATACCTCTACTCGTGACGCTGACGCTGGAACTGTGCTTGGAGCTGATGTCCGTGACGCAATTCTTGCCATGAAGAGTCTCTAGATCATTGCTATACTGCAGCCCTGGAGGACAAGCCACGGATTGCTTTTTTCTTTTCTTTATTTTTACTTTCGCTTTTGCGTTTATTCAGCAGCTATGATTATTACATTCTTATTTCTCTATGAATGGATAGTTTCACTTACTGACAAAAGTTATATCTAGAAATGTCGTTTTCACCGTGTAGCCTTTTTGTAGCCTGTATTAACGTCATCCTCGATTCTTACTAAACAATATAGTCATTATCACAACAAGTACCCGCAATTGATTCAGCTAATATGTCCAGCTGTTTGGTTTCAACGACTGAAATGGTGATTGAATCAATGGCCGGTACCCAAAACAGCCAGTTTTCCACAATCACTTGGGGAACTTACCAAGTAGGGGCTTAAGTTATCCAGAGAATAGTACAAGGCCTAAGTCATCCTCCGGTTCTGTATGTGACGATCGACTTGCACACTGGCGAGGCCGAGTAGGACGGTATTTATGGTATATGGTATACACAGTAATATTGAAGGCAACACTAGAACGAAAAAAAGATACCTAGTGCAAGACTAAAACTCAAGGAACTACCCATACTCCTGGCCCAGCTTACACGCTAATATTGCTAAACCCCGGACCAGAATGGAAACGGTCACTCATTCAAGAATACATAGGGGATCTATAGCATGCATGATAAGGCGGTTGAACGTCTCCTAGCCCACTCTCGGGTCAATCACGACAGGGTGGTTGGGTGCTTGGCACGGTTACCACTTGGTCTGATTAACTAGAGGGGAAAGGGGTCTTAGTCAAGCAGGAGCCCAGCGGTAAGTTTTCCAGGTGCATCCGAAACCCCGAGGTATCGGGAGTCCTTCCTGCTCCTCGTGCATGATCTCTATGGTCATTCATTATACAGTAAAGATCACGATAGGATAAACCATTGGCTAGTAAAACATGGTCATTCATTATATAGTAAAGATCACGATAGGATGAACCATCGGCCAGTTTTACTAGCCAAGTGATATCAAGCATTACTACAGGACTTGCCCGAATTGTCAGTTTACCTGCCCAATCTTCTTCCTAAGACAGTGCTAGAACCGATGGCCCTATTCCCAATCGACTACCTCGGGCCGCTTTCTCCGCGATACTCAATAGAAACAAGTATATTTTTTTTTGATCGAAGCAGACTACTTCAGCCAACTCGCCATTGCTCGAGCAGTTCCAGACGCTACTACCGATATAACCTACAACTTCCTATGTAATGACGTTGTATCCTGTCTAGTACCTCCCATCCAAGCTCGGCTTCCTATCCAATCTCGACCAAACAATTCTAACCCAGGTACAGAGAGTCCAAGTAGCAAAGGCTTTCTCAGTTCTTTACTGCAAAAAGGCCAGAGTCGAACCTGGCAGCATCAAGCTTTCGGCGCATCTCATTGGGTGACCCCACTTCAGCCCAACCTGGGTCATCCTATCTAGGTGGTTCTTCCCGCCTGGAACATTCGACTCCCTTACCCGGCCTCGAGTATTACTACCCATGGTCCTATCAACCCAGGTCCTGCCACTCTAGATCCTCCCACTCCAGATAATTATCGATCCGATCTCTTTACCCTAAGACCCCTGGTTAATATTGCTGAGCCCTCTCTGCCTTCATCCAACCCCATTGTTTCTCCCTCGTCCCACACCCCACCCGCACTTCAAACTTATATCAGATCACCACATTGTGATGTCGTCAGTCCTGCCATTGTCGTCCGATCTTAATAAACTGTTTTCTTTACCAAATGGTCAACAGGTACTTGGCAAATCCGTGTTCGAAATGAGGGACCTGGGTCCAGTCTCCGGTGTTAGCAAAAAGGCCAGCCGAATAGGTGGTGGATTGTCATAGGTCAATCTTATCTCAGTCAGCAAAGGTTTACACAAACTGGTATTAATTCCTTCGTATGGCAGTGCAGGCAATTCATACCCGAATTATAGACATACACGGGTAAAGCACTACTCAGATCCTATTCGGGTTCCAACCCCGTTATGGTGGGTCAAGCTCAGTTGAAGACCAGTTACTAGCCCAGGATATTACCCACAGCTGAGAGCTGAGATGCGCTCGCCGAGGAGCAATGGACCTAGGCAATGAATGAGTATATGTACTAACAGTGATATGAAACTACCATACGGAGGAGAAGCCGGAATGAGTGATACATGGTATATTCATAGATACTGAGGTGAATCAAGCAGAGAATAAGGAGCCGACTGATCTCCACAGTAAGGTATATAATGGATGCTAGATACCAAGCCGTAAGATGAATGAGGGTGCAGATAGGAGATCTTCATCCAGCGCGGCTGGTGGGTGGATAAATTGACCGGAAGGAGCTGGATTTCGTGGACATGCCGCCGAACCTAGCACTTCATGGAGAGAAGGCGTGCTAGGGTCCGATTGAAGACCAGACACCTGGTTATTCATATAGCCGGTTTGCTACCAGACTGTTGGTGTTGGAGGTAAAGAGCGGACCAAGCATCAGTGGGAGTTACTTGCAGAAAGTGCGGGCTTGCGTGTGGAACAGATTTACACTTATGTTGCTTCAACTCATACCGCTCTTCTCGTTTTGGCCGCCCAGTGAGACAGACATCGCCTTGAGCGGAAATTTGGACTTATCTAGCAAGTTATCTTATCACTCTCCTCTCTTCATTTGTGCCCTCTTATTACTCCGAACGTGGCTTTTTTCGAGATTGATGAACTCCTGCCGTGCGGTTGGTAGGGTTGTATTGTAGTCTAAACCGTTATGATCACCTTTTGGTAGATATGGAGTATCTCGGCGGCACATTGTGAAATAAAGGAGATCGAGGATGGGGCTATGCAGTATCGCCAGATTATCGAGTCTATGAAGGAATTTTGGTGTGATGTTGACGAAACGACGGGAACGGGGTAGATACTAAAGGCAGGCCTTGACTTCGCTAAAGAGCTTAAGCAGACGGAGAAGTCACCTTAGGCTGATTCAATATTCGTAGGATTCGGTGGTATGTGACGTGGTTATAGATGTGTGGATGGGTATCTAAGATGAGGAGGTGTGGCGAACTGTATACGCCTAAGAACTGGTAAATATAAGTTAAGTATATTATATGATATCTATTTCCTATATATATTGGATACTGTAGATATATTGATAGTAAAGACCCTCTGTATATCTTTATAGAGCAATATTCTTTATTAGCTACCTAAATTCAAAACGCCTTGCTAGCTGAGTAAATCACACGAAATGTAAAAGGCGCTGGGGAGGAAGAGGACGAAATCTAATAAGTGAAAGAGAGGACTGAAGCCTCTGAGACTAATGCGAATATAGGTTGTGAATTATGCTAAGTAATATATTATAGGTTCTTGATAGGGTCTACTTAATGGTTACTTTCGGAGGTGGTCGAATCATGGAGTATGGGTGGTGGACCACGGGTAGTAGTCGCCGATTCTGCCGATACCATTCGGATTCCCGGCGTCCGCTCTGTCGGCGTTAGAGGTTTATTATTGTTGGTATCTTGGGATTGCGACTGAGTCGGTGTTACCGGAGAGGCAGTTATGGGACTGGGCATATTGATGTTGATTGAAGGCGATTGGTCGATAGGTGGGAGTTGTTCCGGTTGTTTAGTCTGCTCTATAATAGGACTTTGATATATAGGGGCGTTACCCCAGTCTAAGTACTTGTAATCTGGAGGTGGAGGTATATTGAGTATCCCTAGATCTCTATCGTTAAGTCGGCCTGAGTCGTGTATTATGGTCGGAGCCAGAGTTAATTGTTTAAGCTTAGTTGAATTCTGTAAGTCACTTATGATTAAGGAAGAAACGGATTGTCCTTGGGTGGATAGTTTAAAGGATTGTGTGGCGGAGTCGGTTTGTAATAGCGGTCGGCTGTCTGAATCGTTTATATCAGAATTGTACGAGTTAGCTCGAAGTTGTGATCTATTATGGCGAATACGTCTAAGTTTAGTATAGGTAATACTAGCGATATGTCGGTCCTGCTCTCTTGACTAATACTCGGTTAGGACTGTGGATATATTGACTGTACTGTTGGTTCCTGCCTGGTAACGTTCTGTCTAAGCCTAAGTCTTAGTATTAAGCTGCTCTAGGTAAGTAAAATCCCCACGCGATTAGGCTTCTTATTACTCCTAACGGCGCGCTTCGCGATCGGCTAGTTCTTAATAGTACTGTAGGCGAATCTGGTATATAGCCTCTATCTGTTCCTCCTAGCGAGTTTCCTATTCCTCTGCAGTCTCTAGGTATTCTATAACTATATCTATTCTACTGTATTTACTCTCTTAGGCGATAACTTATTCGGTTGGCTTAGGGCTTTAGGAATAAGGTAGGAGGGTTATAATCGAATAGATTAAGGTATCGCGGCGGATGCTATCAGTTATCTGCATTTCTGGTACTATAGCTCTACGATAAGAGGTATCTTAGCGACTTCTTTGATTTAGGACTTAGCTGTATGATATACTTCCTAGGCCCCAGTTTTTCTATTTTTACTTAAGGTATTTTCCTAGGAGGTATTTTGGTTCGTAGTGATATTATCGCATATAACGGAATAGGAAGTAGATGCCTATATAGACCGCGATTGCAAATATAATGCTTACATAATACTATAGGTAATAAGGTTAGCGTTAGGGGAAGAGGTTGGAAGGGTCGGAAATGACATATAATGATAACTATGTTGTTCTTATTCGAGTTATTTTAATGTTTTTATGGAATGTATATAATTGTTGGATAGGCAACTGAGCCTAGAGATTCTTAATAGAAGGTATAGAATAAAATCCCTGGATTTCAAAAGAGTCGAAGAATGAGAAAAAAGACAAAGCGCGTCAGCCTCGGAGGGTCTCAGAGGTGGCTGGCTATTATTATACGCCAAGCAATGAAACGTTAGCGTGGCCCTGCTGTGGAGGCTGGACAACTTCGGCCTCTCGCTGAAATCAAATTCTTCTTCGTAATTTACTGGAGTGGCAATGCACTTCTCTGCTGTTCTCTACCATTATTATGAATTCATATCCTGTCATTTATCCTTGTTTTGACTCGTTTCCCCGGCGATCGTTCTGCGGCAGATCCCTAGCCGTTCTAGCCTCTAGAGACCCTCTAGCAGCTCAAACTATTTATTGACCTGGATTTCATTATTGATTTTCGACCGTGGGAGAGGAACTGCACAAGTCCCTTGGTTGCAAGGGAAGACCTTATACAAAAATAGATACGCCCCTTGGGTTCGGAAGCAGCCGGTATGAGTCTTGAGATCGGGCTGAGCATCAAATCTCGATCGCGAATCGCCAATTTCCCACCGTTAGGGAAAGTATGAGGAGCACCCATAGAGAATTTGCAACAATGAATAATTTAGCTGCTATTTCCATTTCCGATGAGTCTAGGAGGAGAAGATGAAGAGAACTGATAATTTCTTCGAATGGGAGTAGATAAATGCGGTTTTTAACCCTAGCTGGTTCTTGGCTGCATCAGAATTTGGCTTGATACAGGTTGAAAGTAGCTGGCCAGAAGTTCTGGCAAAGTATGCGCAAGACTTTGATGTACCTACTCATATTCGCCAGATGCTGGGCTCTATACCTGGCAATATTATTATTATTTAATAAGTACTTCCTTTCCATCTTCATTAGAAAAGAAGTTATTCCCGAACCTGCTTCCTCTGGTTTTTTCCATGGATCTCTTAAGACTGATCTAATTCCAAGCTGCCTGACGAGTAACGCTTCTTCAACCCGGGGAAACTGCTGTTCTGGCTCCAACCAAGATCTCCAAGACGCACAATCTATCGATTTAATCGAGGCACCACGGGCCAAGACACCCAAACGGACAAGAGCCCATCCAAAAGTTCAGACAGTACCTTTGAGCTCTACAGCATACCATCAGTTATCCAAGTCCTGGAAGAAGCAACGTCGCGTGTCTGTCAAAGCCAATAAAATCGGAAATGTCTACCCAGACTCGGTCAAGTACACCAGGCCCATACCCAACGACCAAACCGAAGGGAATCAGTCCACCCATTGAGATCGCTAGTCCCTCCGTAAGTACGCCTTCTGGCTCGCTTATTCTCGTTCCTGTCCAGATTTATCCCTAACAGCTCTCCCATGGTAGGCTAAGCTGCTAGACATAGGTCTTCTTAAGGATGTAAGAAAATTCATCGAATATTGCGGGATTATGTATGATCATAACTCAGTCGATATGAGTTCTGTCTACAAACCAGACATTATTTTTCGTGTGGCTTACAACGACGGATCTTCTGGCATTGTGCGCTGTGGTCCATGGATCCACGGGTGCATAAAAAGCATGCAGGAACTTTTTTCGCTTCATATCAAGGTTTGCCATGCTAAAGAAACGGTGAATTGGGCTTACTTGGGGAAAAAGTTTGGACTTAGGAAAGAGAATATGCTACGCCTTTCATGGCCGAAAGCAGACGAAGTCCCGTGTTCTAATTAGAGCTTCTATTACTGTTACTGGAGCAAAGAGCCTGTTGGTCTTTTCTCATCCCAGTTATCTTTTTCTACAGCTTCCTTACCTGCCTCTCCTTATACCTTATAGCTATTGAGTAACACCGTTATGAAAACAAAGCCCCTAGGTAGACGACAACAATACTTTGACAAAGACAGTGCAAGCATAGAGTTTCGCGGTGTGATCTGTTAAAGGCATATGAATACGATAACGCGGATGCCAGTATGTTAAGTGATATTTTAGCAGGAACTATAAAGTAATAGAGTGTGAGTAAAGAGGTAAAAATAATCAAGTGCTATCAGGCAATTAACAAATAGTAGAGCAGGCAGTGCATCCGGACAGGGAAAAGGCCTATCCGTAGGACAATAGCCTGACATCTCAAATTGCCAAATCCAATGTATTGCAGTTATATTTTGGAGATAAATTTATTTTGGTAGTCTTAGAGCTCAATTATGCTTGATTTTCGTGGATCTTTTACCACTTGTAGAAAGAGCGTCGTGAAATTCCTTTAGCCGAAATAGACCTGTATGTCACAACCGGGTTCTTTTATGCCAAGATATTCGTTCAAGCTCGGTCACTTCATATGCAGCCGTGTAATTTGACTGTTTTGTTACGACTTTCGGCGCTCTAACGCTAGACTATATAAAGTGATCGTTCTTTCCTGGACAACTCGCACCGGCCGTCTGCATCCTGATATTCCAATCCAGTATTGTTTTGACATTAGACTCCTTAAAGCCAATAAATTATCCACAGATTTCCCTGCTACCTATACAAACCACGATTTGTCGATATATTATCGCTATGGGCTCCAATGAACTAAATATCCCAACGCGTGGGATGAAGAGGTCTGCTTCGGCCTCCGAAGAGCCCCTAGGCAATGAGGTTGCTCTTGTACGCTTGCTTTCTGTGACTGCCAAACTTGGTTTATTCTTACTGACATGGTGATACAGCCGGCCACACCTCATTATCACTCGTCATTTCCTTTTCCTTACACTCACTACGCAATGATTTATCTCGATAACGAGAGCAAGCTCAAGTATTACGAATCTCAGTCTATTCAGGAACAAGACGCCATTGTGTTTACTTCGGAAGTCTGCCAGAATTTTCTCGATATTCTAGGCAAACCGCTCAGCTATCACCAGCCCGCTCACCGTAATAAAAGCCGGATTCTGATTACAGAACCCCTGCTAATATTATATTGTAGAGGAAATGGATCTATCTTTTCGTCGGCTGAGGCACCGCAAGAGGAAAGCATCTGCCAAATCTGCTTTCAAAAAGCCACTGGATAAACAGGACAGCGAAAAACCTTTTACTGGTTCGACCGAACTAGTCCCTCTCAGAATTGGACACCAACGGAAGGTTATGGATTATTATGAAGGCGCCCTCGGATACTTTCAGCAGCTCAACTGCCGCGTCATCGCCAAGGCATTTATCAGGTTCATCGAGCCGGGCAAACATATCAAACACCCTTACAATAGAGGAAAACCACCCCCAGGATCCCCCCCAGGCACCAAGGGCGACCCCGAAAAGACCAAACCCAAATGGTGGCCCTATACTGTAATACATAGGGAACCTGACCACTTGAGGAAAGGAGGTAATCTTATCTGTGAAGTGATATAGCATATTTCCTGCTAACATCTTATCTAATTAGACCGCATCAAATTGCTAGTTCACATTATCCGCGAGCTCGGTGGCCGTAAAATTACTGCTGACAAGTTGAAGGAAGTTGCTGGAGATACCAAGCGGAACTTGGAGCACCCAAGCGATGTCAAGATCATCTATGAGATCCTTCGGGTTCGAAAGACGGAGGAACGATTTGAGCGAAGTGAAGTTAGTAAGTGCCGAGTACTCCTAGAGAGTGCTTTTCGGTAGCTAACACTTATCAGGTGCTGACAAGGTCGAATACGTCACGTACTATAATCCTAGCCCCACGGATGATGATGAGGATGAGGAGGAGGAGAAGGATTATTTTGCTGAAGCAGCCTCAGCAGCTGCCGGAGAGCCTCTACCAAGCAAACAGGAACTGGCTGCCCTGACCACAACAATTGAGCCTCTCCATCCCACACCAGTCTACTCCCTCCTAGGTAGCCTCTCCATGCCCAACCCTCTGAACTTCGGGGTTAGCGGTCTACGAAATAATCCTTACTACAATGTGGTACCCCAATACACTAACGCCTATCCTATGCTCGGCACTCCCATGGCTTCAAATATGACCAATTCACAGGACACTCCGGTCTTCGAATACTCTATTCAGAACCCTATCCTAGCATCCACCTCTGTTCATGATCAAACTAGAGATCCAGGTTACTACGGGCGCAGGGTCAATACAGACAGTGACCAGGACGTCTCCAACCGAGCGGACTACAGCTCACCAGAAACCGGTCAAAGAGTTCCACCTCATCCGATGCAATACCACCGATATATAGCCCGTGCGCATTTGCACCACAACCATTCCCAGATCCCAGGGGCTCTATAAGTCAAAGCTCTTAGTCCCTCCCCACAGGATCAATGGGTCACCTAGGGGCTGCTACTCTACCACACCTTTTAATATTTACTGGCACTGTGACATCATAAAATATGAGGAACTTTCTGTTTTATTAATGTTTTATCTTATGTTCTTGCTTTCTGGTTCCACATTTTTCCCACAGTGCAAGTCTCTTGTATATTTCTTATTCCCTAATCGAAAGTTAATAGAAGTTTTTACTTGACCTAAGAGGATTTACTTCAGAGGAGTCTGGCTGTATCTTAATCATCCGAGGAATGCTCTTAAGGCATACAGTTTATATGTCTAAATGATTATTTGAGACCGAAAGCGGAAAGCTGATAAACAACGTAGGACATATATGCTATTGGAATACGCTACCAAGTGAAGGAGCAAGTACCAAAGCAAATCCATATGAATGGTAGTTCCATGGTTGGTTTACTAGAAATGAACATTATCAGAGAGCGTTCCGGGCCATCGCAACATTTAAAAGTGCATAGACATACTTTGACCCCACTTCAACTTCGACTGTAACAGCCTCCCCCTCCCATATTAGTATATCATGAATACAGCTGTCCCGTTCTGAACCAATGCGAGGATAGGTCGCCAAGCAGACCCTCAGCAGTAACTGGTGGGTTTTGGCGATTAGGCACTGTCGATACATGTAAGGGAAAGTACATGTAGGTGCCCAGGTGGCTTAAGTCCTCCCGTGCTGCTGACCCAGAAACCTGGAAGGTTACCAAATGGGTATAGGATAGAATGCATTCCCGCAGAGTTGATTGCGCGAAATCCAGGCCCGTTCAGACCCTGTGACAGTTGATACATGCCCCTGAGACAGGTATCTCTTTTGTCATGGCTCTAGTATATAAGGTATACGTCTCAGGCCGACCCAAGAAGGTTTGGATCCATATTACACCTACCAACGGAAGATTCCATTGCTTCCTACCTCAAAATCCTTTCTACTACACACCAGCGTTACACGTTTCGACGAAATGACCACAATAGGATCACTACCATTTGATATCATATCAATAATACTCCATACTCTCGATTACCCCGCTCTCAAATCACTTTGTTGCGTCTCCCAGCGTTTTCGAGTTTGGACGCAACCCCTCCTTTTCAGGAAATTTCAATCAAGTTTCAACCCAAAAAAAAGATTGATCCGGCTGCAAGCGTTTGGGAATGCTCTTAAAGAAAAACCATCTCTTTATAGAGCGATCCGCATCATCCAAATCACCGACTTCCTAGGCGACAATGCCAAAGTTGCTTGCCTACTCGATCCAATCCTCGCTGAAGCCTCAAATATTTGCAGTCTTACCATTCCGGTTAACCAACATACCTTGAAATCGCTTCAGAATACCGTGTTCCTATGCCTTCAGGAGTTTGAAGGCAGAGATTTTAGCAGCTGCTCAAAAGAAAATAAGCTATGCCAATTGCGGCCGTTCAAGCTTAGTCCAGCGTTATCGTCAATCCGTTTATATGGCCTCTGCCAGGACGAGGCTCTCGAGTTACCTGGTAGACTGAACCTCTGCCATATTAGTTTTACGGAGAGTCATTTCAACCATAAAGCTATCCACAAACTCTTCGAGAACTGCCTATATCTGCAGTCTTTTGCATATACTTAACCTATAATTTATAGGCTTCGAAAAGGGACCCACTTTACTGCAGCCCAGATCACCCAGGCTCTTCACGCTTCTAGAGACAGCCTTAAGAGACTCAGCTTGAGAATTCCTTGTGATAATGATTATGATTTTTCTAATGACGATTATTTTGCTTGGGAGTATGATGAGTATATGGCTACTAAGGATGCTGACTCTGATCAGTACCTTGGTCCACTCACAAGCTTCTCCTCTTTAAGATATCTGTCGGTGGATCAAAATCTTTTATCTAGCGAAGCGGCACTGCCTGATTGTCTAGAAGAGTTGGATCTTATTTTGCGAGATCCTCTCAGGATGGATCTTCTTAGCCACTTGGCTCGCGCCAGTCATACATTACTGTCACTCAAATCAATTGATTTGAGAATTGACGATGATATTGATGGTAGTGATATTGATTTAATCTATTCATCGTGTGATATTGATTTCAAGACCGTTGGATTTCGTGAAAGAACCATTGCTGCCACTTTACGGAAGCCCGGCCTCAGTTCCTCAACATATCCAACTGCTCAATAACTGTATTTTCGATCAGTCCGTTACACCCAAAGTGCTTCCTAATTCACAAGCATCCTTCTAAGACCCTCGAATAACATAATTGACTGCCTCCTCACTCGTGTTGAAATTTTGAATATCCCATATGAACAAACTTATTTCTTCTGGCGTTCCAGAGCGAAGTCTGGCCACGGTACGACGGAGAGCAGTATGGAGGTTCAAAAGCTTGGCAGTACAAGCTTTTCGCCTACGATCACTGCGTGGGTCGTATGTGCATTGTCGCTTTTCGGTCGCGCATTTTGTACATGGCGTCGTACCGGAGCACTATAATAGTTCTATCAGCGTTATCGTCAATCGTGGGATTGGTGGCTCTGACCTTCGTTTTTCTCTTTTGGCACTCAGCGCAGGCAAGAGAAACGTTATATCGCTTCCTCTTTGGGGGGAAGTTTCTCGCGAGTAATTTTCTTCTGTAGGCAGGAGCTGGCGTAGCGCCCGATATTACGGCATCTTAGGATAAGATGAGACGTAGGCAGATACCTTGGAACGAAATCGATAGACAGGGAGAGAAGCTTAAGATTCTAAGGCTAGATTAGGGGATTTTCAATGGGTCGCTTTTACTTAGCTAGAAGTTACATTTGTTTGCTAGATAAAGAAGCAATTTCTTGCTAAGATAGTAATTAAAGAAACCTAGGGGACTGACCTACTTTGGCCATAATTCTAATATATTATTAGCTGTATTCCCGTTATATATCGACTCTAATTAGCCATGCTTCTCCGACCTAGTAATGCAAATTATACTTATTAGTTCTATATGATACGACGCAGCTGGTTGACAATTTAATGTCCCTTTATTAATTAATCATTAGGGTCTAAGGATTACAGCCTATAGATTATCTTGAAATTTAAATAGAGAATACCTAGGTAAATTAGCTTTTTGAGGGAGTTAATAGATATATTTATATAACCTAAGAGGATTTACTTTAGAGGAGTTTAACTGTATTCTAATTAACCTAGAAATACTCTTAAAGCATATAGTTTAAATGTTTAAATGATTATTTGAGTCTAAAGTGAAAAACTGATAAATAACTAGGATATATATACTATTAGAATATACTACTAAGCGAAGGAGTAAATACTAAACCAAATCTATATAAATAGTAGTTCTATAGTTAGTTTACTAGAAATAAACTATTAGAGAGTATTCTAGGCTATTATAAAATTTGAAAATGTATATATACTTTGACCCTACTTTAACTTCGACTATAATAGTCTCTCCCTCCTATATTAGTATATTATAAATATAGCTGTCTTATTCTAAACTAATATATTCGATTGTATATCTAGATTTGCCTTATTAGAACGGCGCCCTCTAAGACATTTTCTAACCGAGAATTATATATCCTACTTCTGATCTAGCGAGTTAGTATATTAAATTCCTTATATTAGTAAGACCGTTCGGAATATATACCTATATAATAATATTAATATTAGCGGCAGTTAAGTTTAAGAGTCGGTTTATATATATCAGGACCCTAGTACTAAGAAGGCTGATACCTAAGGTATAAGCCCTATTATAGGGTATAGAGCACCTATCCTAGGTACGTAGGGGACTGGGGACTGGATAGGAGTAATACGTACTACCTATACAGCCTCCTTAGGTCATATAACCTATAAACCTATATATTATCCTTATATACTACTTCTTTAGGGAAGCAGCTATTAGTTCTAATATACCCTATATATATTACTATCTCTATTTCCTAATCCTCTATTATATATAGCATTCCCTTAGGTATTCTATACCTAAGGGTCTTATAGTTCTAATAGCTCTTAAATACTTAGATTGCCTAATAGAGACTACCCCTTATTTATACTATATCGAATCCTTATAATATATAGTTATAGGGACTTCCTATAATACTATAGCTTAACGAATAGGCTTTAACTAATTAAACCCTTCCTCCTACTATAAACTATCTTCCTATAGATATCTTAGAATCGATATAAGAAACTACTATACTACTAGATCTAATACTAGTATAGTACCCTGCGAACCTATCCCTATTAATATTTAATTAACTAAGGAAATATATTAAAGAAACTAAGGTAAGAGAAGAATACTAAAACCTCTTTATAGAATTAGAAATCCTAGAGTAAGCGAAGCCTCCTACTCTAATAAGTATAAATAACTATATTATACTATAGGTTATAGAAAAATACTATATTTATATACTAAGAGAGTTTATAAATATCAAACTATTCTATAGAAATATAACCTAGGAATACTATACCTTTATTAACTGACTTTAGTTATACTTTAATAAGTACTAGTAATAGTATAATTTCAGCCTATATAAGGTAAAGGCTATAGTCGAATAATTAGATAACTAAAGGAATAATAATTAGTAGTCTTATATAAAGATATTTAAAGAGCCTATTACCTAATAAGACTTCTAGGACTTCTACTTATATCTTATAAATAATCCCTAAAATATCTATTAAGATAGTATACTAGAGTATAGTACTCTATAGTAGAAGTAATATTAATCTATATAGATATTTATAATATAGCTTAATACTATCTATTATTACCTAAAGTACCTATATAGTTAATAGTACTAAAAGGAGTACCTCTAGGCTAAAGTAATCGATACTATTTATACTAAGTTATTAAAATAGCCTACTAAGCTAGAAATATATAAAGTATATATTAGATACCTTTCTATAGTAGAAAGCTAAATCTCTAACTAGTAAAAAGTACTTTATATATAGAAAGAGAAAAGCGTTAGTAGTAGTAAAAATAATACTACTAAAATAGATCTAAGCCTAGATACTAGTCTTAGCTCT